GATTTGAAGTTATGAACAATTTTATAAGATTGTATTAGTTTGAGGAGATAAGAGAATGCAGATAAGAACCAGGGAAAGGTTTAGTTGAAACTTTTATCTTTTGACAATTTTATTCACTAAAAAAAAAAAACATACGTAAAAAATTTATAGGTAATACCAATTAAAAAATTTATAAGTAATAGGAATAAATTCGCTTCAACAAAATATTTTTATTTACTATAACTCCTATTTATTTTTTGTTATTACTTAAAACTTTCATCCCTTGTATTATTATCAAATTACTTTTTACTATTACCTAGATCCCCTCCCCTTTATATTAAATTTTTATTATTTATTATACTTTTAGAAGTTTGTATTATTATCAAATTACAAAAATTATCACTAACAGAAATTGAACTAGTATCTTAGAATGGAAGGTTAATACTTCAACCACTAAATTATTAGGATATTCTAATAATAACTTACAAATAAATTATATTTATCCGTATAAATATATAAATATAAAAAATATAAATACAAATATATTTATATTTTGATATATTTATATATATATATATATATTTATATATTTGTATATTTATATATTTATATATTTGTATATTTATTTATTTTATATTTATATATTTTATATCTATATATTTTATATTTATATATAAAGTATATAAATATACAAATATATAAATATACAAATATATAAATATAAAATATATAAATACAAACATATTTATATTTTGATATATTTATATATATATTTGTATATTTATATATTTACACTGGATATTCATTTATTTGTAAATAAATATAACTTATTTGTAAGTTATTATAAAAAAATCTTAATAGTTTAGTGGGTGAAGTATCAGTCTCCAACTATAAGGTATTGGATTTGAATCTTGTCAATCACAATTATTTTAATTTGATATAATTTACCTACGAATTTTTATCCAGTAAGTAATATTTTGTAGATAATAGACCTTTAATTGTTCAATTAAATATTATTAAAATGTTTATAAATATTCAAGTTAATTTTGAAAAATAATAATTAATAATTTATTTAAAAATTAAAGAGCTAATTATTATAAAAGAATTTCAGTATTCATCTCCAACTAACATGTCTAAATAAAAGAAGTAACTATCGGTATATTTTGATGGTAGAAGAGAATTATGTATATATCCATCATATGAATACTGAATTTTTTTTTAATATTTTATATTTCATAATTTATAAAAAAATGTTTTTTAAAGATAAATTAGTTTTACATTGTTTTTTTTAATTAGTAATTATTATATAATAAAGGTGATATTTTTAAAATTAAGGCATTTTTGTTTTATATATATATGAGATAATTTTTTTTTCCAACATCTCTTAAACTTGAGGAAGTAGCCTAACCTTTTTTTTTCAACCCAACTAATGTTTAAGGTGATATATAAGGATCAAATGAAAAAGACAACAAGTAAAGTTGTATTATTTATTCACTAAAGTTTAGTATCTTTGATATAACAAAGCACATACAACAAATAAAACATGAGATTTCTTAGAGAAGTGTTTTGTTCGTGGTGAAAAATTAAGAAAGTAAGACTCCAGACATTAAAGAGGAAGTATAAGTTCTTGCAAATGAAAGAAACAATGAAGGTAACATGTTATTTTAGCCCTTAATTTGTTTGAACCAAAGAAGACGACGTTGAAACTTAAGACCTCACCCTTAAATAATAGAATGTTTTAGGCTGACACTAATATTGTAAATACAAAGTATTTAATAACAACAATTGAGTAAGATGGTTTGGTCATTTAAAATTTAAAAACCTAAGTCAATCACAATCCAAGTAAATGGTGCTATTAGGATTGCCTAAGATGAATGTGCTTAACAATACATTTGTTATCTTCAATACTAGTAAACAACCTAAAATTTCTTTTTATTCACATTTGTTAATAAGATCATTGGATGTGTTACATTGGTGCATTTTATTGTATGTGAACCTTTTGAGGTTGCTTCACTAAGTGAACAAATATTTTGTGTCTTTTGTTAATGTGCTTAATAAAGTGATGTGACTATGTATGATACTGGTGAAAAATAAAGTATTTAAGGTGTTTAGGAAGTTTAAATCACTAGTTGAAGGGTAGAGTGTGGGATTGCTCAAGCTCTTGAGAAATAATAGTGGTGAAGAATTTAATTCTAAGGAGTTTGAGGAATTTTATGAGAAACATAATATCTAACATGAGATCACAACACCTTACACTCCAACATACAATGGTCTCTCTAAAAAGAAATAAGATAATACTTCATAATAGATATGTGATTGTAAACAAAACTAACTCATGGAAGGGGTAAAAAACACCTAGCAACAAACCAACTGTAGGTGTTTCAATTCAATTTCATGATAAAAAAATGAAACCTAAATAAGACATAAAAGAGCAAGATAAATAAGAAGTTTAAAATGTAGATTCTAACATGGATCAAATTCAAAGGCCACAAAAAGAGGGTGATCTATTATCCAGATTTTCATATTATGAGATGATAATAAAGTAACACCTAAAAGAAACATAATTCCTATTACATTAATGATTGGTAAGGTTTCACAGAAGCATGAGTGCAAGAAGGCAATGTTTAAACAATTAGAGTAATTGAGAAAAATCACACCTAAGAGTTGATAATTTTATCTTTCTCAAAAATATATAAAATTAAGATGGAATTTCAAACTAAAAGTGAATTTAAATGATATAATAGAAAGAAACAAAACAAGGTTCTTAGTGAGTGGATTCAAATAGAAGTTAAGAGTGTTTATACTGAAGTTTTTTTTTCTAATAACAATGCTTAAAACTATAAGATTATTAATAACCTTGACTAGTAATAATTGTTGATCTCTTTAGCATGTGCATGTGAAGTTTGTTTTTTTAATCAAATCTTAGATAAATAGGTGCATGTGATGAAAATATTTCACTTTCTTGTTTATTCTTGGTAAAACCTCTCTCTCTCTCTCTCTATATATATATATATATAATAATAATAGTTATTATTATTATATATTTATTTCTTAATATTATATGTTTGTATTACAATAAGTTACATGTTTGCTTATCTAATCATATATCTATTTCCTAAAAATAGATACATTCTTTTATATATATATATATATATATATATATATATACAAAGTTAACAATTATATATCCAGATTTGAGACAACCGTATCACTTGATTTGGTCTTAATTAATTTCCAACCATATTGTTACCTTTTAACCCCCTCAAGATGGAGTATGCAAATCGTAGATGCCCAACTTGCTTAAGAGTGTGTTGAATCATGTGAGACCAATGACTTTAGTGAAAGGATCAACCAACTCAGTAGTTATGGAAACATAGGAGGGAAGGAGCTGGTTTTGAATTATCTCGTCCTGTACAAAATGATAGTCTACTTTAATATGCTTAGTATGGTCATGGAAGACCAGGTTCTTGACTATGTGAAGTGTCGCTTGATTGTCACAATAGAGGCAAATAGATAAGGTGTGAGGCACTGAGAAAGAGGAAATGATATCTTTTATCCATATTAATTCTCGAGTTGTTTTAGCCATCAACTAATACTCAACTTCAATTGAGGAGGTAGAGATTGTTTGTTGTTTTTGAGTTTTCCAAGAAATTGGAGTGTTACCAAGTTTAATAAACCACTCGGTGAGTGATCGATGAGTAAGAGGACAACTATCCGTATAACTGCAAGTCATTAGTGTGAGGAAGAATAATACCTTGTCCAGGATGTCCCTTAAGGTAGTGCATAACTCATAAGGTAGCGTGTCAGTGCTCTACCCAAGGTTGTTGCATGAATTAGGACAAAATTTGAATGTTATAAGTAAGATTAGGCAGAGTAAAGCATAAATAAATAAATTGTCTTACAAGGCAACAATATGAGCTAGGATCAGTTAGAGGAAGACCATTTGTGAGACCTAGTTTATGATACGCTTCACATGGTGTGGATGTTGGTTTTGTTGGAAAATTAATAATAATAATAATAATAATAATACAGTGTCACAAGAATATGCTTGATTCGAGTAATAAAATCCAAAACATATTTTCGTTGACACAAGAATATCCCAGATGAAAATCGTGTAACATCAACTCCCAACAAATATTTTAATTACCCCAAATCTTTGATATGAAAACATTTGTGTAGATATTCCTTAAAGGAATAAATAATGCCATTATTATTTATGGTAATTACGAGATCATCAACATAGACCAGAACAACTAACTACATGTCATTCTGGTGGAATAGAACAAAGAGTGGTCCTTTTGAGATTGCTGGAAACCATATCGAACCAGAGTAGAGACAATTTTCTAAACCAACATTGTGGAGCTTACTGCAAGCCATATAAGGATTTCAAAGTTTACAAACCATCCCGTGTTGAGATAGCCAAAAGCTTGGAGGAAGTTTCATATAAACCTCTTCAATGAGGTCACCATGGAGAAATGCATTGTGGACGTCCATTTGGCTAAAGCTCCCAATTTTTCGTTTCTGCCCCAACCAAAGTAGTTCGAATGGTGACCATTTTTGCTACTAGAGCACAACTCTCATTATAGTCCAAGCCTTCTACCTGGTGATTCCCAAGAATTACAAGTCTAGCTTTAAATGGTTTCAACGATTCGTCAAAGTGATACTTAATCTTATGTACCCACTTACACCCCAAAGCTTTCTTACATGACGATAGTTTTGTGAGACCCCAAATTTCATTAGTTTCAAGAGCATGAATCTCATGAGACATAGCCTCACACCAACGTTTGTCCTTCACAGCTTGAGAGAAATACAAAGACTATTGCTCTGTGTGCAAGACAACAAGAAAACTACGGTGTCAAATGTTATGTAAAGGATATGACGAACCTGAGGATAATGTTGATGAAGATGACCGATTATAAGGACTTTTTAGTATTATGGTGTGGGTTACGAAATCTTGAAGTTGGACTGATGGTGCCTTCAATCGGTGATGACATCCAACCAGAGTTGATGTTAAGAAGTCTATGTCGAGAGACATGACAAGTTCTATCATAAAGGTCGTCATAGGTGCTTTGATGATGTTGGACGAAGTTGGGGCTGAGATTGTGGTTGTGTCGTTAGTAACCATAGGAAGAACTTTGTTAATGAGATCTAAACCAAGACTAACATCTTCCGACACTTTCTCAACCATTGAGGTCAATTCATGACCCCCCTTGTCGGTGATGGTAGGGCACAATCACTTATGTTTTGTGAGGAGCCAAGATCTCAGATAAAGAGTTCAAAAACTAGTTCAGTAGGAGAATTATCAATTGGAAGAGAATTGAGTTAGATTGTCAAATTGGAAGGTTTAGCAAAGGGAAAAACATCTTCATGGAAATGAACATCGCGGGAGATAAAGAAAATTTCTTTTTTAAGATAAAAAAACTTCCAACCTTTTTGGCTTAACGAATACCCGACAGACACACCTCTACGACTATGACGATTAAATTTGTCCCTTCCCCTATTTTGATTGTGGATGTAATATAAGGATCTCAATATTCTCAAGTGATCATAATTTGGTGTCTTCCTATGAAAAGTTTCATATGGTGATTTTCTATTTAATACAAATGAAAGTGTGAGATTAATCAACTATCCAGCAGTTAAAAACATATTCTCCCCAAGTTTTGATAGGAAAATTACCTTGAAATAGTAGTGAACAAGCAACATTAAGAATATGTCGATATTTGTGTTTTACTCTGTCATTTTGTTGTGGTGTTCTGGTACAAGATGTTTGATGAATAATGCAATGTTGTAGAAAATGTTGTTTCAAGTGCATAAATTTAGTCTTATTGTCATATCGGGCAATTTTAATGAACCTATTGTATCATTGTTTTAAAAATAGGGCCCGACTAACCGGTTTAAGTGAGAATTGAAATAGAAACCTGTTTGTTGCTTCAAAATAACCGGACTTTAATTAAATCGGGACAAAATGGTAAAGTAAAAAAAATTGACTGGATTTTTGGGTTAAATTGATTTTGGGTAAAAAAAGATTTAGGATCAAATTTTTTTAATATAATTTGTTATAAAAGATGTAATATGTTTTAGTTTTTTTTTATCTTATATTAGTTATGTTAACTTTAAATAATAGTTATTTTATTGTATTTTTATCTTATTTTAATAATTATCTACCTTTCATTCTTTAATATATCTTATATTTATAACTTTTGGTAACCATGATATTAACATTTATTATTTTTCTTTATTTTTATAAAAAACATTATTACTAATAAACTTATTATATATTTATTATATTATAAAAATATTTTTTATTAAATTCGGTTGGATTTTAGTTGAATCCCGATTGAACCTTTAAACCCCGAACACATGTCTTCATCAGTTCAATGACCTATCCATTTGTAAAAACATTATAATGTATTATCGCTCAACAAATGTGACACATTTTTCAGCATGTCTGCTACTTCTTTATTTTCTTTCAATAGATATCTCAAGATTCCCTGAGAATAATCATCAACAATTGTTAAAAAATAAACCACAAAATGATGGAGTTCTATAAGGTCCCCATAGGTTACAATAAATTAATTAACAAATATTTGTGGTCTTATGATCACCAAAGGAAAAATAGACTTCGTGTTTGTTTTGATCTTTTACAAAATTTATTCAACTCATTATTTTTACTCTTGTCAGATATGATGAGAAACATCCTTACAATTTTAACTAATGGATGTCCCATCCTTTGGTGCTAAAGTTATAGTTGGTTCTTCACTCCTAGATGGTAAGTCTTGTCTTATGTATCCCATGATACCACTAGAGTTCATTTTTTTGTCTAGCCACTCCAATCAACATCCTCAAAGTGTGGTCCTACATAATACACAGCTTGTTAATAAATTGTATTACACAGTTTCCTTCGCCAATTATTTGAGGGACAAAGATCAAATTGTATTTCAATTTTGACATATATAAAACATTTTTCAATGTCAGTCCTCCATCAAGAATCACAATTCCCTGTTTGCAAGCCATTACTTCTTCACCATCCTGTAATCCCACTAAGCAACCTTGAATTTATTTCGTATCACACAAATTTTGTAACGAACCCATCATGTGGTTGGATGCACCACTATTAACAATCCACAAATCCCATATTTTCTTACCATTCATTTTTTTCTATTTCATGTGGCTTTCTGGAGTTAATCATATCTGTCAATACCTGTCATTACTCATTCATGAGACCAACCATATCAAGTGTCTTATCTTCCACCTCACTTATGTCAGCTTGGACCATATTTATTCGCACTGTAGCTCCTTTGCCAATATTTCCTTGGCGCCCTTGGCCCTTTCCATTGCTGCTTCCTCCATTCTTTGGATGACCCCCAGACCAATCAGGATATCCTATCAATTAAAAGCACCCTTTTATATCATGTCCGCCTTTGTAACAACGATAGGAAGTTATGGATTTTTGTCTGTAATCACTATGACCTCTTCCCTTGATTCCAGTGTCCACTAAGAGACTGACGACCATTCCTTTCTCTTCCTTTGATCAAGTGATATTTTTCATTCACTCTTCTTATACTAGCATCGCATACACTTGGTTCAAGGGGAGCAAGGGGTCCGTTACTAAGATGTTTGGCCGAACTGTGCCATAATATATGTCATCCAAACCCATTAAGAATTATGGACCTCTTCTTCTTCCCTTTGCTTTTCAAGTTTGTATGTGATTCCACATTTACACCTGTTGCATGTACACTTAGGTATGTGCTCATAATTTGCCAGCTCATCCCAAAGAGTTTTGAGCTTTCCACAATAAGCCATTATGGTCATGCCATCCTGTTTGCAACTTATAAATTCTACTTTTTAATTGATATATTCTTAGCCCGTTTGCAACGGAAAATTATGATATGATCTCTTACCATAGTTTTTGCGCATCTTTGACATATCCCACTATGAACCACAAAGATGGTTTGAATCATATTAAGAATTCATGATACAATCATGCATTGGACTATCCACCAATTCCAAAACTCACATTTTCCCCATGTTCTTTGTGAGTTCCATCCACAAAACCCCATTTTTGTTAAGCCAGAAGTGATATTCTCACAACTTTGGCCCATTCCTCATAGTTTTCTATTCGGTATTTCCAAGGGGGCTAAGTAAGAAGATTCTCACGAAATGGGTTATGAGCCAATCATATAAGAGAATATCACACCTTTAAATAAAAATCTTACATTAGGTTATGGGTCTTTCTCACTTATAAGTTACTCAACTTTCCCATTTCTACCTAATGTGGGACTTCAAACTCACACTTGAATTCTCAACATCTCGGCCCTCAAGTGTGGTATACCTTACTTGTACCAGATAAACCATCGACTCTGATACCAGAGTTAAGTATTTTCAAGGGGGCTAAAATAGGGAGATTCTCACAAAATGGGTCATGAGCCAACCATATAAGAGAATATGACACCATATTCAACAAAAAACCTTAAAATATTAGGTTATGAGTCTTTCTCGCTTATAAGTTACTCAACTTTTTAATTTCTACCCAATGTGGAATTTCAAACTCACTTGAATTGTCAACATTTTCTCCTTGCAATTACACTTGTGTGATTATGTTACCAATGTTGTCACTTGCAAGAAGATCATGTGACAGAATAACTTTTCCTCAATCCTCCTCTTTTAAGGATCTTGGTTTTTCTATCATTATTAGGTGTTTGTAAAAAACCAAAGCCAATATGACTTTGATACCTGAAAGCATTTTACTTTTTTATTTATTCTCTATAAAACCTTAATATATATATATATATATATATATAAATCATATATTTACTTGTTTAGTATTCTATATTGTATATTATATGATGACAAATTACATATATATACTTATATATTTATTGTTTAGTATTCTATATTGTATATTATATGATGACAAATTACATATATGCTTTATATATATATATATATATATATATATATATATATATAATACAATTATAAATAAAATTAAGGTAATCATATTTATGATTTGGTATTAATTGGTTTTGAATCATATTAATTTTAAAAAAATTAATATTAACAATTTAAGATTTAAGATAACGGAGAAAATAAGAATAATATATAAATAAATAAAATTTTATATGATGTTAAATAGGTTATAATGTTTAAAATAAAATATTATATATATATATATATATATATATATATATATATATTTAAGCATGTTATGTGATATTTATGTTAGAATAAAATGAAAAATTATTTAGATATTGATATTATATTTATAAAGGAAAATAATGAAAAATAAAATAAAATTAAGATGATAATATAATTCGAGATAACAAACTTTAAAAAATTATTTATTTATTAAATATAGAATAATATCTATATATATATATTAAGATTTTTCATATCTTTTACAATCTTTATTTTTTTACTTCTTTACAATGTGTTTTAATTACGAATGGTAACATTTTTTTAACTCATGCTTGTACGGTGGAAGAAAATAAAGAGATTTCCAGTCAAAGTTAAATTGATTTTATTTTAAATAAAATCTAAATAAATAGAGTAAAATATGTAACTATGTTAAAAACTATAAAATAATATATAAAATATGTTATTTATATTTAATGGGTAATTGAGCAAATAAACTTTACTAAAAGAATTAAATATATAAAAAATGACGAAAGTATTCTTAAAAAAATGGTTTAACTGAGTTATTTGAAAGTTAATTTTAGAATATTTGATTTCTCTATAATAATAATATATAAAATATCTTATTTTATAATTTAACGTCATTTCAAAAACAATTTTTTTAGAATTTTGTAATTTCATAAATTATTTTAGTAAATTATAAAATATATTATCTTATATGAATGTGAAATTTAAATAATAATTTAATTTAAGTAGTGGTATTGAATTTATATATTTATAATATTTTTTATCATTTAAAATTTTTATATAATTTAAGTAGTGGTATTGAATTTATATATTTATAATATTTTTTATCATTTAAAATTTTTATATAAGTTTTATTTATCTTTATAATAACGATAATTCATAATATAACGTATTCAAATGTAAATAATTATATAATGGAAAAAATTATGTTCAATTAATTTATATATTTAAATAAAAAATATATAATATTCTGTTATATATAATTATTTTATATATTTAAATAAGATTATCTCTAATTCTTTATCTTAATTAAATAAAATCAGGTGGAGTGAAAAGTTATTTTTAATTTTATAAAAAATTTAGATTTTCAAATGATATATGCTATAATCTAACTAAATATTAAACAAACAAACATGAGGGTAGTGGCAACAAAGCTGAAAAAGAAAATAAAAATAAAAATGAGAAAATTCCCATTAGGTCCCATACTCCTTCTGTCCAAAGCCATTCTCACAAAACAAAAACAAAATCTACTATTCTCTCTCTTCCTTCTTCCTGCCACCGCCTCGAAATCGCAATCCCCGTGATTCCTTCACTCTCAGATTCTCCTTCTTCTTCTCCCAATTCTCTGCCCGGGGGCGCCGCCTCTCCATCCGCCGCTGCTGGAACTCTTGCAAGATCCCCGCGGCGCTTCCGCGGGATTTCTCTAGGGTTTTCCGATCGTTCTTTCCTTTTTGTTATCAGGACTTTGTTTTTCAATTGCGCTTACTCTGTGTAGCGTCCACGAGCCGCATGGCTCCCGGGCGTCGACGTGGAGCGAACAAGGCTAAGGCCGACGGCCACTTGAGTTTGGGTGATCTTGTGCTGGCTAAGGTCAAGGGCTTCCCCGCTTGGCCTGCGAAGGTATCGTTCTTTACCTTCAACTTTTATTCTTTTTCTAATATTATTAATAATATCATCAATACTTCTCCTGTTTTGCTTTGTCCACCTTTATATCTCTCTAATTCTCTGCTGATTTTCAGTGGCCTTGTTAGGTTATTTTGCTCGGGTTTTGAATGATCCAGGATGGTTTTCCAGCCCTTTTTTCTCTTTAGTTTTTGAAATTGCTCAGATGAGGAATTTTATGTTGTTGACATGATGTGTTAGTGATCCTACCTAGTGAGATATTGTTGAAGTAGTGTATAAGAGTAGGGACAATCTTCATTAATAAACTAGCCTTTAGGATTGAGCTAGGACTAAATCCAAGTTCTTGAACCATCTCAGGGCTAGATGGTTGTTGTTGACCCTGTTGCCCAAGTTAAGCTGTTAATATGACTAAACTAGTTACATATGTAAGGGAAACACTTTTTTGAGAGTTAGTTAGGTAGGTACAAACCAAAATTTATAAGATACGATTTACTGTGCTTGTGGTGCACAGATTATTCTAGCTGAATGCTGTAAGTAGTTTTGGTAAATTTGATCTGTCCTCCCGTTTATGGTTATTATTAGCATAGCACCGAGGATGATGCTAATTTTGTTGTATTTCTTTCAGATAAGCAAGCCTGAAGATTGGGAAAAAGTCCCTGATCCAAAGAAATATTTTGTTCAGTTCTTTGGTACGAAAGAAATGTAAGCCTCTCTCACTTGATTTCTCATGTAACTTACATGCAGTTAAAAGATGTGAATGCATAGGTTGCCAAGTGATCTGATATTGGAATGCCTTTAATTATAAAAGACGGAACTATTATGTGAACTAGTGAAAAGGGACATGCTTAATTTGTCAAGCTTGTAGTTTAGTTTGGATGTGAAAAAATGGTAGAGGGGGCATATGTGGAATTATGGAAAAAACACCCTACCTCTTGTTGTCTCACTATTATCATGTTAGCATCTATTTGAGCCTTAAGAGCTGGTTTGGTTGTCAAGATATGATAGTACAAGGTTAGGATAGGAACACGGTAGATTAGAAGTAAGATAAACATTGATCTTATCTGGTATTTGGCGCACATCATAAGAAGAACCAAATAAAAATAGGTTGTGGTGGTGGTGGTGGTGGTAGGATTGATGATGATGGTGGTGACAATAGGGATAACAATGGTAGCAGGGACAACACTGACAATAATGAAATGGTAGCAATGGGAAGATGATATGGTGATGACAATAATAATAATGAGATGATGATTACAATGACAAAGATAGAAGTGATGTTAATAATGGTGGTGACAATGTAGTGGTACAATAGAGATGGCATGATGATAGTAATGATAACAACAATGATCATGGTAACAATGGTGGCAACAGCTTTTGGTAATGGTGTGGAAGTGATGTTTGTTGCCATTACAACCATAGTGATTTCATTATGATATTGACAATGTTAGGTTTCTATTTGGTAATCTAAATACTTGTTCTCATTAATTACTGGTAGTGTAAAATTGGTTTTGCAATCTACAAAGGACTAACATATCTAAGGTATAGGTCAAACCCAAAGAAAGATTTATATCTCTGTACACCCCTCTTGAATAGGTCCCTTTGACTTAAAGAATGGATGATGCATATCATTTACTTTGTGATGAAAAACTCAACTGAAAAAAAGGGAGTGGTGAGAATGTGCTATGTTCTTCCTAATTACTTAGTCTTGGACTAGAGGCGATCTGTAACATCAGTTTTTAATATTGTGTCAAAAGCAAATGAGAGCAATTTTTGATGTGGCTGAAGATATTGTTTTGTGTGTAAAATGTGTTCCTTTTCTTTAAACACAAGGATATTCCATCATAATTCATGCAGTTGTGGGTGCAGAGATTATTTGATTGTTAGATAAAGGATTAAACAGATTTTAAACTGCCTGCGTGTTTTTAAGGGATGGAGGGGTTTGATCCTGTTTAGCTTCCTACAATTCCATGGTTCCTGTGATGAGAGAATTGCATAGTGTGGAATTGAATATTTCCAAGTAATGAGAGAATCAAATTAGGGGATTTAGTTTGATTTATAGTGGATTATGCTGCTTGAATATTCAATTCTCTCCCAGATAAGGTTGATTTTGTGGTTATAGCTATGTCATTTGAACTTGTAAGTAGTTTTGTAGACCTTTCAACAACCAATATCAATGTCTGCAAATATTAATTCTTGATCATCAATAGCCTAATAGAAAACTTGTTGATGATGGACCAGTGGCTTGAGAGACTTTTCAGAGTTCGATGAATCTTTGAGATTGTATCCTTCATGGCAAAGGGCTTAAACAACTCTTTTAAGCATGTATATTGTCTGTTGGTTCTTTTTCTCGTTCTCTGAGGTTCTTTTATCCTATTCTTTGGTAGTCTTGACTAATTTATTTTTGAAGTAAAAATATAACAAGTTTTTGAATTTAATATTAGACTATAATTTCACTATTTTCTTCCATTTAGCACCCAAAGTTTTTTTCCTTAATGTGTATTCTTTTTATTATATTGAATGTTGGATGTTCCTTCATTTTATTTTCTTACATACATACCTATGTTGTGTTATTTTCATTTGCAGAGCTTTTGTTGCCCCAGCAGATATTCAGTCATTCACCAGTGAGGCTAAAAATAAGTTATCTACTCGTCTTCAAGGAAAGACTAGGTACTTTGCCCAAGCTGTGAAGGAAATATGTGCAGCATTTGAAGAGATGCAGAAACAGAAGGCTAGTGGTTTGACAGATGACACGGATGATTCTCGTATTGGTTCAGAGGCTCCATCTAATGATGAGGTAGTAGGTAACCATAAGGATGAAATTGACACTGTGTTATCAAATGCAGAAAAAGATAACATTGATATGAATAATGTTGGTTCTAATCTGGAGCACTGTACTCAGAGAGTAGGGGAAAAAGACAGCGCAGATGAAAAGCACTCTGTGCCTGTCCATCCAAATGAAAGTTCATTGGTTTCATCTCCGGTGATGAAAAGTAAATTATCCATGGGTTCAGAGCCAAAGAAGAATGCTAACAAATTGATTCTTAAAGGTGCTAGTAATTTTAATGATTTTGGGCAAGATGATAATGGACATATTATTTTAACAAATGGGACCAAGCCAAGAAAGCTTGTCAATGGCTTGCGAAAGAAAAGTGAAGCTGGAGGTGATAGAGATAGAAATGGTGGATCATCTACTGGAAATTTTAAGGAGGGAAATTGTAATGTCCATGGTGACTTTTCTAGGTCCGGAGAGACAATGAAAGCTGGGAAGAAAAGGAAAAGTGCATTTAATGTTAAATTGGGTTCTCCAGTTACTCTTAAATCAGACAATAATTGTAATACTGGGGAAAAAGATAGCAACTTGATAAAAGTCAAAACAAGTCTTGAGGTAAAAACTGAGTTGCAGGAGATCTTGATTGATTCCAAGGATGCTGATGGTAAAAGTTCTAGTTTGCGGAAGAAGATACAACTTCATGCAACACATAATTTAGGGGCAAATGAATCTGTACATGCTACCAAGAAGTTGAAGCGCATGGATGCCAAAGAGGATTCAACTTTAGGATATCCTTCAAAAGTTTTGAAAAGAACTTCGCCTGGTTCTACAGTTATTGAAGACAGATCATTTAAAAAATTAGAATTGAAGAAGTCTACCCCAAATTTGAAAACAGAAAAAAGCTTGTCATCACGGGGTCAAATTAGTGGTGCAGGTTCTGATGATTCTATCCATGAGCTGCTATCTGGTACTAGACATCATATCCAGGTTCAACAAGTTATGCTTGATTCTTCTGGCATTACTTTTGAGGAAAACAAAGAAAGGAGTTTTTATAGACTGAAAGGTGATACAAATAATGTTGTGATAAAACAAGCTGAGAGGAAGCGTAGAGCTGTTTGTCTTTTTGATGACGATGATGAACCTAAAACTCCTGTTCATGGAGGAGCTGGAAAAAATGTTAAATCGTGTTCTGTTTCAGAGGTCAAGAAGAGCAATAATGCACACTCAGAGAAGTCTGATGTTGTTCAGCTGGGTCAAAGAAATTCTAGTGAGCTGGAGGATATCCATTTGAAAGAGCCATCATCTCAATTGCATAGTGTCAGTTTGTCAATTAAGCAGCCTCTAAAAGATAAAGAGAAAGATGATGAAGTAATTCCTCTGCATGTTCCTAATAGTCCTGAAAAATTAGATTTGAAGCAGTTTCCCTCCAATGCTTCTAAATTGAGCTCTGTCTCTCCACTAAAATCACCTCAGTCGGTAACTGCAACTAATTCAAATGCTGAGCGGAATAAAACTTCCAAACTGTCACTTAAAGTTTCCAGTAATGCTACCCAAAAGAGGGTCGATCATGGGTCTTCAAAGTATTCACATAACCTTAGCTCTTCTCAGACTCATGTTGTGACACATAGAAGGAAGCTTGCATCATCGGTAGAAATTTCTAAAACTACACCGGAGACATTGCCTCAGGCAGTTGAAGTTACTGTTTCAACAATTGGTTTTAAAGATACCGATGCTCTACATGCTGATAGGTAAACATACTTTGTTTTTTGTTTCTTTTTATTTAGTTGCTGATCCTTCCACCTCTTGTTTCCATGTTCTATTAAAGGTTGGAGGTGAGCACAGAAGAGAAAAGTACTATGAAGCATCTTATTGCTGCTGCCCTGGCAAAAAGGAAACAAGCTCATTCACAATTTCTTCCTTCTGGCTTTCCCAATGCTCAGGGGGGAACTCCTAGCCCGTCCTCAGTTCAGCCATTTCTGTCTGTCTCAAGCAATTCTCTGCAGGCAGATATGCAAGGAGTTTATGAGCACACAACATTGGCTTCTCCACCAGCTAAAGAACATCATTCTGCTTCACATAATCAACTTGATGCTGATGAAATTGAGGATAGAAGAGTTGATTCAGGGCAAAGGGGTGTAGGAGGCTCACTGAGTGGTGGTACTGAAGCTGCTGTTTCCCGCGATGCTTTTGAAGGAATGATTGAAACATTGTCAAGGACCAAGGAAAGTATTGGTCGGGCAACCCGTCTTGCAATTGACTGTGCCAAGTATGGCATTGCCAACGAGGTCTGTTTCATAAAATTATTTCTAGTTTTAAAGTTGTGAATAAGGCAATGACTTCCCCCAATTTGTTTCCTAGCTTTATGAACCATTAGAGAAAATGGATTTGCTACAGAAAAGTGTCTTAATAATATTTAGTTTAATGACAATACTTTGATGTGATTGTTGGTAAGGTTCTTTATGAGTTGTGTTGGAAATGTGAAGGTTGGTTTTTTGATAACGGAAAAAGTACATTATATTGACAAGTGGTGAGGATCAGCCATAAGTTTTTTGATAATAAAGGTCTTGGAACATTATTTATTTATTTATTTATTTATTTGTGTTCTATTCTTGTGGTCTAAATTTTGTTTAGCTATTTTTTTACTTTTGTGATTTGTTTGTTTTTTCTTGATTATATGATTAAAATATTTAATGTCATATTGAAAACCTTTAGTAAGAACATCAAGGATCCATAGAAGATAAGGGTTGCATCCTTTTTGTTTCATTTATTTTTAGTTGGTGATCATTGATTGGAATGTGAAAGCTTTTCCTAAATGTTATACTACTGATTTTATTGGTGCTGTTAATTTAATGATTAATGTACATGTTGGTGACTTACTTCCTAGTCCTTTTTGTTCAGGTTGTAGAGCTTCTCATACGAAAGCTGGAAAATGAAACTAGTTTTCATCGCAAAGTGGATTTGTTTTTTCTTGTTGATTCTATCACCCAGTGCTCTCATAATCAAAAAGGTGTGTGATTACTGAAGATATTAGAATAGAATACTATTAGCAATTGTTATCACTGTTCCTCCCCACCAGTTCCATCTAAATTTTGTTAGTTCAGGTAGTATTCTTTTCAAGACATTTATATCCCTAATTTAGAGGAAATTTGTAGGCATTGCAGGAGCATCCTACATTCCTACAGTTCAGGCAGCATTGCCACGTCTTCTTGGTGCTGCTGCTCCCCCTGGAGCTAGTGCCCGTGAAAATCGTCGTCAGTGTCTCAAGGTCAAGTCTCTCTCCATCTCTGTGTTAATTACTTAGTAATTAAGGGGAAGATAAGACATTATCCAATAACTTAATCAACAAATTGAGATAGTGGCTGACGTTTCATTCATGACTCAACAATGAGAATTCAACCTTGTTGCCAAACATTGTCATGTCCAGTAATTCTGTTTCATCAATCATATTATCTAAGTTACACTTGTTCAATCACAAGCTTTCTCAAAATCCATGAAGATTGAACCCTCACAATTCCCCCTTCCCAGATTTTCACTACCTGTTTACACTGCAAGAAGGTCGTCAATTACTTGACTTTGGCTAATATCTATGCATGGTGAAATGGAATTTGTCTAAATTACTCGATTATTAAGCTTTACTTTTCAAAAGATCGAATGTTAGGTGGATATCAGTTTTGTTTTATTTTCTATTTTTGGGTGGTTTGCAGGTTTTGAGGCTGTGGCTTGAGAGGAAAATTTTTCCTGAATCAGTTCTTCGCCGTTACATGGATGATATTGGAATTTCAAATGATGATATTACAGTTAGCTTTTCTCTCAGACGTCCATCTCGAGCAGAGCGAGCTGTGGATGACCCTATTAGAGAAATGGAAGAAGGCATGCTTGTTGATGAGTATGGAAGGTGTGATAGTTTTTTATGTCAATGTTTTAGACTCGCTGCTTGTATTAATTTTTTGTTTGTCATATATATTGTACAATTCATTCATCCTTACTATAATCAAGGAGAGAGAGTAAAGTCTGCATAATAACACGAGGCAGCATAAACAACCATGGATTGTATTAGATTTCTTTTATAATGACTGAATCCCAAATGTGCGTGTGCTGTGATAAACAAAATAGTTTGTAATAAGAGTTAGTAAACTGAAAAATACACAGATTGCAAAAAAATGTTTCAATTGTTTTGGTTAAAGTAATGTTAATAGATTGTTTGAGGAGAGTGTAGCGCAATAAGTCCTTGATAGGAAACTTCCAAGTTAAAAGACTAGAATGAAAGAAACTGTTGATCTAGTAAAATTTAGAATATTATCATATTATCTCCAAAACGAGTTTGACATTAAGCACTGATCATCTAAGAAGTAATTAAACATGTAATGTTATAAAACTATGATATGAAAAAGTTATGCATCTTGAAAAACACTAATCACGTTGTAGTGGCAACAATTTTCTTGTGCGAATGCTATCAAGCTTCTTGTAATCACACTACTTATTGAGTTAAATTACCTTTTTATACTCTCTTGTTTCTCTTGAACAATATTAATACATGAATAGGAGAAAATAATCAATAGACATTAACACATGTTCATGATGTTATGATACATAAAATTTTTCTTCTTGTCCTTGGTATTATTATTCCATGTGCGATGGAATGTAAAGCTGGGTCAGAGATTGGTATCATGATATGGGAATATTAAATATTGCTTTCTAAATTTGTTCATGTCTTGCAGTTGTAGATTTTACTTTGCTGGAATATTTAACTAGATAAAACTTTACTGTTTATTTGTTTCTGGTCTATTACAATTCTATTTGCTTTAAAATGTAATTTCTATTTCTGATTCATGTTATATTCCTGGATGTTGTGTATCAGTAATGCTACATTTCAGCTGCCTGGCTTTTTATCTTCACATGCATTTGAAGAAGATGAAGATGAATATGAAGATGATATACCAATGAAATTGTGTCAGGAGACATGTGATGCATCTCCAGCAGATCCCACACATACCCTTGGAGAATCAGAAACTTCTACTGTTACCCCAAATGACAAGCGCCATTGTATCTTGAAGGATGTTGATGGTGAGCTGGAAATGGAAGATGTTTCAGGTCATCCAAAGGATGAAAGGCCCACATTTTTTAACAGTTCTGATGAAATTGATTTGCAACTTCAGGGGTCAGATAGAAAGTTAGATCCAACTCCAAACATTTCAGAAGAGATGTCAGCTACTCCAGAAGGTTCTCCACCTTTGCCACTTGATTCCCCGCCTCCGCCCCCACCTTTGCCTTCATCACCACCGCCACCTCCTCCTCCATTATCACCATCTCCTCCCCCACCTCCCCCACCCCCAATGTTGCAACCCCCACCTCCTCCTTTACCACCCTCAGCCCCTCCTGTGTCATTGGTTCCTCAATCGTCGGTACCAGCTCGGCCACTTCTCTCCCAACCATTAATGCCATCTCAGCCATCACATCAGTCATCCCCACAGTTGGGGTATCAGCAGAGTGTACCTCATGACTTTAGTGGCACTAATAATGTAAGACTCTTTCTTTTGGTATCACTTTGTTGTCATGGATTTATTTGAATTGTGGATTTTGACAAATGTGGTCATTGATGCAGGGTAACCAAATAGTTCCAATGGTTGGGAATTCTTTTCCTGGAGGTCACAATAATGCTGTTGTCAAGAATGAAGTATTTCCACAGCCACCTGCTTATGCTCCAGCAGCAGGTTGCAGCTCCCAGGAACCTTCTGGTTTTAACCCTTCAAGGCAATTAGAGTACGGACAGAATGATATGTATATAAATGCTCAAGTTCCTCAACCTAACCATCAATTTCAGCAGGGTAATCCCACATTTGCACCGAGGCACACACATCCCACCCCACCCCAAAATCCACCAAATCCGTACCCGTATTCAAATCCTACAGTTCAGCAACATCTTCCACATTCATTCCATCCTCCCTTCCCTTTACCAACTCTTCCTGATGGCAGGAGACAGTTTGTTGCTGATGAGCAATGGAGATTGTCATCTAGTGAATATAAAACAAACAATCAACATGGTGTATGGAGAGGGAGAAATCCTTCATGTCCTGGTCCACCCTATGGGCAAGAAGGTATGATCTACTTGGTTCCACTCCAAATGTTTGTTACATTAAATAAAATTGTGGTTTATTTTTGGCTTTTTCTAATGTGTGTATGATTCAAGAGGTTTGTTCACAACTTCTAGAGTTTAATATCTATTTGCTTACATTTTATTGTTTATTTAAGTGAAATTGTTAAGCCGATATCTAAGGTGTATATAGGAGGTCTCATAAACCCAATGATATTGATAAAGGTCTAAAAGTAAAAATAAGACTGGAGGGTCCAGCTAGAGATGGACAATTAAGTTGAGAAGGAGACAGAACTAACAGAAGGGGGACAAGGGTCTTTGAGGGATTGGGGGAGCATGATACAGGTAATCATTTGGGGAATAGTGGATTGTTGCAAATAGGGTGGAGGGAGGAGAAAGTATTGGGTGTAAGATTGGGCAAGCTTGCTGGTTTGAGTGAGGAGTTGTTCCCTATCATTCCCTGTTCTGCATTTTTCTGTTTTTCTGATTGTTAATCAGTAATCGTATCTACTTGCATGGACCGTTTTGTTTTTTTAGCTTTTCTCATAGTTCAATTTATATATATATACACACACATCCCTGCCTATCAAATTTTCTGGGTCCTATCATATGGCATTTTAGTTCAACTAGTGTTTATATTTTATGCTGTTTGTACAAGCAATCAAAATGTTGTATGTAAACTTTGTTTTGATTATGGTGATGAAGGTCATTTTCAGCAATCATTTGAAAGGCCACCAGTAAGCACTGTAGGTTTTCAGCGACCAATTTCAAATAACCTACCTGTTGCTCCAATATCAGGTGATTTTTTTATCTATCTAGTGAGATGTTAATCTTTGTCTTACAATCTTGGATGGCCGATTAGGATTATTTTAGTTAAATATAATCTTAACCATTTATTTTAATTCCACGGTTGAGATTCACTCCTCCCATGCACTTATTTTGAACTTGTACTTCTCATTAAACTGAATTGAGAATTCATTTTGCCCTTTTCAGGACACGGTGTACCACAGATGCTGCCCTGTAGGCCAGACATTCCTTCTGTTAACTGTTGGAGACCCAATTGAAGTTGAATGAAGTCTTACTAGTTTTAGGTAAACTTTTTTGCGTTTGGGAAGAATTTTTTTCTGCAACAATTGTTTAACTATGGCTGAACCAAATGTTGCAATAGGTGATTGTTCATTGACTTTGGCTTCCATATCTCTTTGACGTGTGTGCAGACACCCAAATTTTAGAAAATGAAATGTTAAAAAAGTAAAAATACAATAGTTTTTTTTTTATTTGATACTAAAAGATTAGAATTATTTATAGTTAAAAGAATTCCTGTGCCTCTTGAAGTCTCTCTGAAGTCTTGGCAGTGCATGGAAAAACTGGCTCACTGCTGAATATATTTTGGAGATTTATTAACTTTGGGAAATTCTTCCCAAGTGTTTCTATATTTGAGCAGCTTGAAATTTATGTATATATTACTGGAGAAAACGAAAACTTCTTTGGTTTAGCTCATTCTCCTTGTTATTTGTTTTATTTCCCCCCTCTTTATAGGAGTTTTCTTCGATAAAAAGAGGAAATGATTTATAGTTATTGCACTTCGATAGTGCTTCACAATATGACTGATTGAAATATCAGGGATAAATCTTCGTGAACAATTTATTTTCGGACAAGAAAATTATGGGCTGCTTCTGTAGTTTGACATGCAAAATTTTTTGGCTTCATATTGTAAAGTTTCCCTTTCTTCTGCAAAATTTGTGAGTTCATGATTATTGCGAAACTCTTTCATGGAACTTTCCAAACTCCAAACTTGCATGTTAATTCTTTACATTGCAAGAGTGAACTTTGATTATTTTACCTCCTTGAATATGAAATGAATTTCTTAATAGGAATAAGGTTTAGGTTATTCTATTTCTGTGTTAATTCACGAAGAAATGTATTTGAAATTCCTTTCTCTCTAAATATTGACATGTTAATTGTTGTTACTGCTTTTTATCTTTCAGTGGTGTTGCTGGTGGATCAACATGGAGGGTTAAATTGTGCCTCAGTTAGATTTACCTGTGTAGTACATACAACTTACCCATGAAGAAAAATTTTGAAAACTTGAGGAGGCTTTTGACAGGATTGTGTATATTGTAATTTTTCCTGACAATGTATCCCAGGAACATTTGCTTCCAAGTTTAGGCCCATGTTTTTGACTTGGTTAGTTTATCTGTTTCCCATCCCTTGTAATTATTACGTAATATCTATAGAAATCTGTTTCAAGTAATCAATTTTAACTGCAATAAATGAATGTTATTTTTATTTTCAATAATTATGTTTTATCCTAGTTTATTGCATTTTCTTGAAAAGTCATATCATATTTCATGACTCAAATGCCTATTAGTTATTACCTTTCTGTATATAGGAAAGTCTGTTCTGGAGCTATTAGCTTATTAATTATTTTGGACATGTTTATCAAAAAATGGGAAATTAAGGTGATTTTTTATGTGTAATGTTATAGTTGTGTTACTTCAAATTCATTCTGTGCAACTGAATACATGTTACCTATAAAAAATAAGTTATGCACTTATGAACATGACCTCTCTCCCTTGCTCTCCTTGTTTTCTGGACTATAAGCAAAATTAACTACTTTCACACTGATTATGAATAGTAGTTAAGGTCATTTAATATTCCTGTTTTCATACAATAAAGAGGCGCTTTTTCTAAGTTACCTTTATCAGGGATGGCGCTTAGGGTTAAAGATAAGGGTATTTTTTAAAATAGCAGCATTAAATGCGGTTGAGGTGGTTGATATTTGCTTATTCAAGTCCATTAAACATGACCCTTTTTTGTTTATATTTATATCCAGACTGAGTACCAGGTAGCACATAATCTAGTCAATATTTAAAACTTGTGTTAGGAAGATATTGGGCAAGCTTTATTTTCCCTTTGATTGTGGATTTCTGTGAAATAGATGTATGTATAGTTGAATCTGAAAAATCAGTATGTTTACTTCTTAATTTATGGCTTTGTAGCTTTGATACCCATTAGTTTTGCCAATATATTAATCATCTTTTTATTGATTTTTGGAAATTCACTTTATTTAATATACTTATAATATGTTTGTGGGTGAGGATTGTTAAATTTCTAGGCTTTACCTTTTCAAGTGAAGGTCATATTCATGAGATGAAATTAGGGTTTATTAAATCTGGCAAGAAATATGATTCATTACAACAAGAAAATTAATAAAGTTAGTAAACCTCTTACATAACCCGTATACATATATGAGCACAGGAGTATTGCTTATAGGTAGCAGAACAATTTTAACAAACTACAACTGTTAAATACTATAATAACAAACAGTTGTTGCTAAACAATAAAAGAAAAGACATTACAAAAGCATATCTCTAATACCCCCCACAAGCTCAAGGTTGTGAAACAATAGGCAACTCAGCCACCTTGAGCTTGGTTCTAAGAAAAATAAATCTTGTAGATGAAAGTGGCTTAGTTAGTACATCAGCCCATTGATCTAGACCAGGAATATGCTTCAAACAAGCTACTTGGCTAGAACTTTTTCTCTGACAAAGAGGAGATCTAGTTCCATGTGTTTAGCCTTGGCATGTAAAATGGGACTGTGAGCTGAATTTACTGCACTAAGATTCTCACAGTATACAACAGTGAGATGTGGAATGCCAAGTTCAGTTAGCCAAAGTTTTAATCCATAGAAGATCAGTAGTAGAAGAGGCAATATATTCAGCTTTTGTGCATGACCATGGTAAGACAGTCTGTTTTCTTGACAACCAAGATACAAGAGTAGGACCTGAATAGATCGTTGTACCAGAAGTTGATTGTCTATCATCAGGATAAGCAGCCCAATGAACATCACAAAAAGCACTAATACATAAAGTCTGATGAGGTATAGCAGGAGAGATGCATAAGCCACACTATAGAGTACCTTTAAGATATCATAAAATATGTTTAACATTAACAACAAACCAATGTGATTTCAGGAATGGACTGACACTTCGTTAACATAAAGGCATATCTCGGGGCTGAAGGAGGACAAAAAGAATTAGGATCTATGGAAGCCATAGAATAAAAAAGGAAGGATTTGGTTGAAGCCAATAAAGAGGATCAACAAGCGCTGATACCATATTACAAAAGTTAATAAACCTTTTATAGAACCCATATACATGTATGAGCAGAGGAGTAGTGCATATGTATAGCTGAACAGTTGTAACAAACTACAACTGTCAAACAACTGTAATAATAAACAGTTGTTGATTTAAATAAGTTTAATTTTAAAATTGGTCCTATTAAAGTGGTACCTACAAATTATTTTAGCACTTTTGATACCCTATGCTAATTTGATCCTAACATTATTAATCTTGAGTTAACTGTTATATGGAATGTCTTCAACTTGGTTTTTGGTTAAAGAGTTAAGTTGCCATTAATTTTAAATTTGTTTCGACCAAACTGTTAAGTTTGAATTTTTGTAACTTATTATGATCAAACTGCAAAGTTGGAATTCTCTTAAACTCCATTTTAAAGAAAACTTTCTTTGCCTCTTACTTTTTTGAGATATGCTAACTTTACACAATTTGTTTATACATCCTTTTAGCCTGTTTAAACTTTGATTGCATCTAACTTACTATTTTGTATTACTAAGTTATTTAATAAAAGTTATTAAAACTGTGAAAGTTAAAAACAAGTATAGGCAGGTGGAAAGTTCTGTGAAAGCAGAAATGTGCAAATATAATTTTTATTTAATCTCGGTTCACCATTTCAAAGCATTTGTTCTATTATTTCTTTCTTTATGTGTTGGAATTTTCACTTATTCGGGAGTTTTAATGATAGGGATAGAGACTATTGTTTTATATAATACCTTCAATCTTTGTCTGATTCTACTCATTTCTTCCATAGTGAGGGTAGTTATATCATTGCTTTTTAGGTATTCTTATGCAAGTTTTGTTGTTAGTTTTTCACTCATTCTCGCAAATGTGAAGCCTTCCTTCTTAACCAGTCGTTTCAAAACTTTGATTATAGGTTTAGTCTTTTGTCAACTTACACATGCAGTTAATACCAAGGGCATGTTGCAGTTTCATAGAAAATACAACTAGCTGAACTTGAGGTATTTCTGATATTAGTATTTTGGTGGGAAAGGTCTCATTTTCTTCTGCATGGTTGTGTAGCAATATTGGTTTTGGAGTGATAGGAATTTTTGCTGAAACATACCTACCTGTGAAAATTGTGTTGCTGGGTTTACTTGATAAAAAATTTTCCGCAGAAATTTCTTGTGCCTAGAACTATACATGAATTGGAAAGGATATGAGAGATATACTGAATAAAAAAAGTGAATAATCTGAAACTATTCTACAAAGTTATCAATTGTGAGGAGTGTTGCTCTCGAGTTCCAATCCTTTTCTGCCTCCTTGTGTAATGAGTATATGTATTTGCCTATTGGCAAGCTTTTGAATATGTACTTTTTAAAATGCTTCTTCTATGAGAAAGAGCAACAAATAAGTAATGTCCATTGCATTTACCATTGAAGTTTTCTGAAACTGTGTTTGAAGGAAGGAAAACACAGTTAGCTCAAAGTATATTTGAGGGCACTTGTTTGTGTAATTTTTACATTTACTTGTACAGTTCCGTAGAAGTTCAAGCACTTGAGTCTTTGTCTTGATGCTCTGGAGTTCTTCTTATAGTTAGCATAAGTCAGGTTGAATTTATGTATTCAGCCTGCTTGTTTGTTGTTAATATCTTTCTTTTTAATGTTCTAATACTTGTTCCCCCCCTTTTTGTTCCTGTTATAGTAAAAGCATAAGTTAGATTGAATTTATGTGCTCGGCCTGCTTCTTTGTTGTTAAGATCTCTCTTTGTCATGTTCTACCCTTTTTGTTGCAAATTTGGACACAATAGATTAGTGTGCAAGAATTTGTAGTTACGATAACGAGTGATCCCCCAACTGTTTTTGACATAAATTAAGATGCATTTCTTTTCCACCATGTGCTTTTCCGTTGGATTCATAAAGTCACTCAGTGTTAGCATTGCATGGAGTGTTACCTTATTTCAATGTTGATGGCGTGTGATATAATTTTTATTTAATCCACATTATGGTATAAGCATATATGATGATTTCTTCTGTCAAGTGATACCCTTTCGATATTGCTGAAGAGGAATTCTGAATATCTCGGCGATTTCAGGTTTTGTTAATGCCAAAGAAGATGGTGATCATTTTTTCATATGTTTAGAATGTGATAACTGAACCAAGATTACAGTCCAACTTCTCATACAAAAGACTGCTGATTAATGAGGTAATACTGTTGCGAAATTTAAGAACAGACCATGCGTATGCTATTTTTTTTACTTCAATTACCATGCTAGGGATCTATAGTTGTAAACATAGTTCTAATGGATATTTTTTAGAACTCTAGTAATTCTTTTATGACGAGTTTAACATTTATTGTTCATGACAATGTCTTGGTTGTTTTCCTCTCGTGTAAGCATGCATCTCTCCATACAATTTTGAATTAATTTTTCTGAATTTTTACACTAGAAAGTTGGTCATTAGAATCATAAATTTTCTCCGATTAATGGATTTAGTTTCTATCTGCCTATTTTTAACATATGATTATATATGATTATATATTTACCGAAAATTGTATTTACAATTATTTGCCATGAAACCTAAGGCATAATCGGTGTCATCATAGATGTCGATGTTAGTGTCTACTTTTCCAAAGCAAGGTTGGAAGGGATGTTCAATATGTCCTTAGAATACAATTCTTAAACTTCACTCAGGAATACTTGAGGATTGGAAAGTAACACTTTGTATATGGAATGATTTGATCGTGATCAGCAATAAGTAAGTAGGCTTATTAAACAGATAACATAGATGGCTATTTTAGACGGTCATGATAGTACTAAATACCTGAAACATTTGTGTCGGAGGAGTTTATTTCTTAGGTTTTCTTTTCCAATATATCTTACGTTTGAAACATCTTATCGGTCAATTTCCAGTTCACCACATTGACTTCAATTGTCAAGTTCACTAGTCTAACTTCAGTTGATTAATTCTGCGGCTCACACTAGTTATGAATAATACTTCCTGTGAAGAAAAATAGTAGTTATTATTATATTAGATAGTAAAACCATTCAGAGCAAGTTTTCTAAAACGTAACGTACTTATATTAAATTCTGTCACTCAAATAAATATACTTGATTTGTGCTTCTTAAATGAACTGAAACAAATTCTTGTGGAGCAATTTACTTTTTATATGTTTGCCACCATCGCTGCTGTCGAAATTGGACACTACTAGGCATTTTGTTAAAACACGATTTAGGACGCTCGATCTGTTGCCATGACAAATCTTAATATTGGATTGTTACTTAAGGGCTATTTTTTTTTTTTTTTTCTCGTTGTTATGTCACGGATGGAGAAATAGGGAGATATTTCGATGTGCATAAGACCATTAGTCATTCGTCAACTTTCTCTTCTATTCCTCAAATATCATCTTTAGCTTCGTTCGCGAATTAATTTATTTTACTGGGTTGGAATCGATTTCTTAGCTTCACAATTGCTCATGCTTATTAATTACATTTTTTGTTTTCATTTGCCTTATTGTTAGAGAACTTTATGTAAAAACTTAAATATTATATAGATAACTAATTCGTCTTATCTTGATAGTTTTACTGCATAAAATTCTTTTATTAGCGGAATTGATACAAAGTGGAAGGGTGTTATTTAGGTGCTGATTATCCTTTCTAATTAATTTGGAATACAACGTTGAATTTCTGTATATACTTGTTAAAGTTGTTTCCTGTGAGGCATTAGTACAAACAAATGCTCTTTTGACTTAATAAATTTAAATAGCTATCTGTCGTAATTGAAATTTTACTGTAGCAAATTGTGCACCTTTGGATTGTTATAGTGAAAGACAAATTTATGCAATGTTACACTCAGCCTGCGGATATCATTTAGGAGAAACTACGCTTGAAAATAAACACTCTTATTTATAAGGAGGAAATATGTAATTCAGATACCCATTAAAATTGTTCCAAGTTTAAAGTTGGTTGATTAATGTAATTGTATGCTCATATTTTTGTAGGAGATAATAATTTCAATGAACATGTGTATAAAGGCGGGCGAATTTTATAATGCTCAGTTATGTGTGTAATTTGCATCATTAAAATAGTAGTTAGTTTAATACCTTTTCTTGTCTTATTTTAGGGATGTAGATTTGAAATTCGCACGTAAGCTTTCGTGTGTAAGGCTAACATGTGGTCATTACTTTTAAAGTGTCTACAGAAAATTGAATGTCCAAGGGGACGATCTCAAATTCACGGCACATAAAGGAGGACCAATCGATGAATAATGGAATAACAGCTGTCAAGTTTAGACTCTTAATGTGTTTGAAAAAAATGCTATTTAGGCATGTTTCGTAGCCGCAATATTTTAAAAGATCAAGCAACCCAACTTTGCGGAACAAAACCTGTATTTGGGAGCTAGGAAACCTGTACAAGAAGAGTTTTGGACCTTCCACTAAAAGATTTACGGTAAAAATATCTACATCTAACTAATTGTGGTAAGGTGCATTTTTTTCTTCAATTTTACTCACTCTTCTAATGATTCCTTATATCTCTTCAGTTTCCTATTTTAGAAAGTTTAGTATTGCTGTCAATATAATTTAATGATTATCAAATATTATTTGATCGCGTGTACTAATTTTTACATTTAACGCTGACGCAGTAGAAACTGAGGAGCATGAAGAATTTTTTTATTTAATCAATGTTTGGTAATTCTAACGCTTTGGCAGAGCTAAAGAAAGAAGTTAGAAACATCAAAAATAAATATCCAAAAATTAACTCTTGCGAGGCATTTTTCAGCCTTGATTTGGTCATTTATTTAAATCTTCCTTCGGAACGATTTTGGAAGTTTATTCCAACCCTATGATGTTCGGCCCGTAGAACAAGCAAAACAAAACGGGTAGAAATTTTTCTGAACTTATCTGCTTACCAATTTCTATTATATTTTTTCGGCCATGCTAGAACATTTCAAATGATTTTTTTTTATCAGATTTTTGTTAAAAACAAAATTATTTTAATGAGCTTTTTTTTTTTAATTAGAGAATTATTTATGTTATTCATTTTAAAAAACTCAATATTTGTGAAATTCATATGAAAATAATATTTTTAATTTATAAGGAATTAGTTGTAAGAGATCAGTAAATGCAACATTAATATATTTTCCTAACATTTTTTACCTCAAAAAACCTATTAGTGTAAAAACCAAAGATCTGACAACTTTACAGAAGGGATCAGAACTGGCCTGATAACTGACTACATATATACTAATCAAGTGCAGTTGTAATCCTATTTTGAACCAGTCATTGGGTTCGGCAATCCGTCAAAGGTAAGTTTGCATATCAGCTGCTGAAATGGTATGTAAATCTGGTTTTAACCTCCAACTTGAGGTTGGCTCAACCGATGATTTTGACATGACGAGTTTCATGATTTGCTTCCATCATACTAAGTTGGCACTGTGCTTAAACCACCTGTTTGGAATAAGGCGTCAGAGCTAATCGACTAGAAGATTTCTGCCTCTGAGCTAGGCCATTTGCTGATCTTGTTGAAAACCCACCATTGCTACTACTATCATACTTCAAGAGCAACTCTGGAATACGCTGAAGGTTAGCTTCAGATTTATGATTCCTCCGGATAAGTGTACCATGCCTTTTATCAGGCTCTTTTTTCCTTGCTTCTATACCTGTCATGCTATCTGACCTCTCCATAATATCAGTGGCCAAACTATAAGATTTTTGGTGACAACTACTTTTACTGGACAATGGTGAGTTCCGGTAAGATGGACCATTTTCTGAACATTTTAAAGACCTTTTTTCGTACTCCACCATGAAGATTTCAGATGAGGATTTCTTCATTTTTGGTTTAGCTCCATAGGGACTTTGTAAAGAGCGCATGACTGGGGAGTGCTTCCTCTCAGAGGACTTCCATCTCAGAGGCTGGAATGATTCAAACAGTTCACAGCATTCATTATCCGCTGGACTGTGCTCTGTGTTATCATGTCTGAAGCTATAACAATGTTTATGCTCATCAGTGATTTAAAAGTTCGTTAGAATTAACGATGCTCAAGGAAATTCTATATTGAATTTAATTGAAACAGAAAGGGTAAATGAAGCTAATATACACAAATATATGTTTGTAACCTGTAAGCATTTACAAACTGCCCAAAAGGACGTGTTGTATGTAACAGTAGTTATAAGAGATCAACTTTACCTTCTTATTAACATGCACCATAATCAAACTATTATAGCCTCTTGCGCATTCATCTTATAACTTAAAAATCAACCAATACTAACTAAAAAGGTTAAGATTAACTTGTGGTATTACTGTTATTCGTGAATTCAATGATTAAACTTACCCTGTAGTGATGGGTGGAGGGTGCTTTCCATTTAGTGGAATGTGAAGAGTGTTAAGAGCAAACATCTGCCTGTCAGTCACAAGCCCATTTACCTTTCTTATGTCCGCAACCTACAATTTTCCAAACCACAACTTCATACGTTATTTGCAGAGGCATTTACATATTCAGCACATTTTCTTTTTCCAGATAATGAATGGTGTAATCAACACTGGTATTATGATTGTTGTAAAACCTACTCTCAGGAAGCCCACATGGGTGTGGAAAGTACAAATATAGCAACAAATTCAAAACTATTTCATATCATCATATATGGTTTCGCATGCCTTTGATTTTAACGAATTTTCTCCCCATTTGGATCTCAATTCATTTTACTTGTGCCATAAGTTTGTTGCATCCAAAATCATAAGAAATATGAAAGAATTTATGTGACGCAGTTTCCTCAAAATTTCTAAAAGGCATTGAAAAATGATTCCATTTCATTTTTTCTCACTGTAAATCCTTTTACTTGTATGTTTATATTGTCTTTTCTCCCACGTTAATACATCAACACTGCAATAGTTGATCTCTGGCGATCCTTCACTTGTTATTTTTATTAACAAGGAGGCATTACCAATCTGCAAAGTACTGTGTAGTCAAGATTCTACTTGTTATGAGAGGTAGATTGTAACGAGTTCAACAGTGTATACTTGAGATAGGCTTATGAAGTGATCATTGATGCTTCCTGCATTATTTTGGTTTTGCTTCACTTATCTCACATGCTTCTTCCATACCAACATGTGAAGTAAAGATAAAACTACCTATAAAAATATAGAATAGTTATCCTCTTCCTCTTTATGGATGATTTAAATGAGAAAATGGAATTGATAATTTTCCTATTTGTGAACCATGGGAACTTATTTATAATGACAATGATTTATATGTTTTGTTCATAAAATCTGTTGTAATAAAACTATTAAATTCATGGATAAATCTTTTTATATCTAAGAATTTAATATTTATATTAATATATATATATATATATATATATATATATTAAATTTTAATTTATGATAAATTAAAGAAACACAATAAATAATGAGGACATAGAAGCCCTCATGGCTGTTTCTACTATGATAATATAATATATTTAGTTACAATATATTATTAACTTTTATTTTAAGCTTTCAACATAGAGAAGGAAAAAGCTAACAAAGTCCGTTGGTTTTAAGAAAAATTACTATTTTACCTCAAATGCCATTTTTACTTTTCATCGATGACACATTCATCATTAAATTTAATTCATATTTGTTTATTTCACAATTATTATAATATTATATATATTTTAAATTAATTATGTATTAATTATTTATTAAAATAATTTTAATTAAATTTTAAAATAATATATTTTTAGAAAATTGTCTTTTAATTTTATCAATTATTTTTATTCCATAAAATTATTATACTTTACAAATTATTTAATAATAATAATAATATATATAAATAATAATAATTATTATTATATTTTTATGTTATTAATTAAAATAAAAATAATCCAAATATTTTTAATATTTTAAATTTTAATAATAATAATAATTTTTTAAAGAATAATTTGATAATCTCCAAATTTTTCTATTGAAACATTTATTTAATTATTCACATCTTTTTTTCTTTTTTTTTCTCTAAGTTTCTAACCATACTCTTAATTCAAACAATTTCATTCTCATATTATTTTCTCTTGAAATGATTGTCAATTTAGTTATTATTAAGACCTAATTTTCTTACTTATTCATTATTACTGATATGCATAGATGGAATAAAATAAAATCATAACTTAATGTATAATTTATTTTAAGATGTGTAACTAAATTAAAATGATAAAAAATAGTGTAACAAAATTGAGTTTTATTTTCTTTTTAATTTATGTCTTAATTTTTTTATTTTTCTTTTATTTAAATTATATATATAATTTTATTTTTTAATCATGATTAAACATGTTGAAAAAAATATTTTTTCATCTTTTTTTTTTTGACACAGAATGCAGTATAAGTTCATGGATTGCATTTATTATTTTATCACACCATATTCATGCATTGCATTCACTGTTTTCTTATGCATATGTGTTTAATCATTCATATTTACCTTTACTCTTCACGTATATGATAATCAAATCCATTTCATGGTGACTTTATACATTATTATCTTAATTCTTTATTTTTTAAATTTTATATACAAAATATTTCATAATTTCGATTAAAAATATATGGATATTTATTTTTATCACCATTACTAAATATAATTTCATTTACGTAATGAATAATTCCTAAATCCATATAATTCTATATATCATATATCATATATGTTTTTTTATAATTTATATTAATTATTGAATTTTTTTAATATATCTTAAGTCAGTTAGTAATTTTTTAAAAATAATAAATTAAAAATATTTTTATATGATTTATTAAGAATGGAAATTTATCTACACATTATACTCAAATATTAAGAAATTAATAATAAAAAAAGTATTTCAAAAAATTGTCAAATATGTAACAGAGAGAAAAGAATTTATGTGACGCAGTTTCCTCAAAATTTCTAAAAGGCATAATGTGAAAGAAAAGAAAGAATACCTCAACCCCATACTTGATTGCGATGCCAGCTAGGGTGTCTAATTTGGAAACAGGATGCTGGATGTAGGGTAGTGTTGGAGGAGATGCTGCTGCTAAAGATGACATCATCATCATTTGGCTATTTGGTAGGTTTTCATCATATTCATACATAGTGCGTGCTTGGATCTGCATTGCGATTTTCTGTAAATTCTCGTCCAAATATTCTAAATTTAAGTTCTCTGGCAACCCAACCACACAGGTGGATAAACTGATTCTGATTTTCGATCGTTATGCTCTTTCCACTTAGACATTGGAATCAACGATTTAGCCCCATTTCAACTGCATCAAGTCAAAAGGGTATACGTATTGGCCTTAAAAAATGAATCTGATCAAATGTCAGTGGAAAATCAAACAATGTTAACAATTGATCGCAGTTTTTCTTTCACCCTTTTGCGATCAAAATGACTCGAGCCTTGACTAACTTTATTGTTTTTATAAGTATGCATCATAACTAAAAATGAATTATTAATGATTTGAACTATAAATACATATATCAGTTAGATTGCAATAAAAAACTTAAAAATAGACATTTTCCAAATGCATTTTTGGCATTTCTCAATATGAAAAAGAGGCCTTGGTGGTTTGTATTTTATGTATAGCTGCTGATATTCATCCCTACCAATAAACAACCTAATCTATTTAAGGCTTTCGAAACTTTAGAACACCTTCATGATTGCTTAACTTTCAGTGGTTATTAGAAAAGTGGTAATCAAAATGAACAACATTCCATTACTCTGAATTTTTGTTTTTTCTCAAAAGCAATTTATTTGTGTGGATCTTCTACACCACCCTCAACATCTTCATCTTCATCTTCAATGTCCTCTTAATTTGAATGTCTTACTCAAATGGTCAACACAAAAATGAATCATTGTTCACAGACAACAATTTCCATGTTTCTGTGCAACAAGATACATATGAGAGCATCATCGATTTATTCCATATTTATTTTGGGACTGTTAATAATTACACTTTAAATCCACTTAACATAATATAAAAATTGACTATACATTTAGACTATGTTGGGTGAAAATGATATATTGTTACTATATATTATGGATTTATTTATTTCAATCCACTTAAATTACTTTCGATGCCTTGAGTTTGTAGCTTTTCTCTTCTTCCTCAAAAATTGGTCGGTAAGCATAAGTTTTATTAAAAATGTTAAAAGTTCTGTCAACACAGATATTTAATAAAAAGCATATTACAGCTTCTATTTAATTAGTAAATATGAAAATGCTTGGACAAGTATTTTCATAAATATTTTAAAAATAATAAAAAAAATAAACTTTTTCATAAACTACTAAAATTACCTTGTAGATTAATTAGTTTTTAAAAACTCATATATAGTTCATTTGAATATATCTAATTAGACATTAGTTAACTTGTAAACTTTATTTCAATTTTTTTTCCTGTTAAAAAAGTGTTTATAAAGTAATTTGTCTAAACAGATTCAATAAATTCCAACTAAAAGGTTTAAATTGTTTAAAAAGTCGATCCTCGAAATATATTATGATATATATAAATATCAGAAGAGAATAATCGTGCTTTTCCGTGCAAATTAACGTCCAAATATTAGAAAAATGCAAAAGCAAGAAATTCTTAATCAAAATTAAGTACTACAAAAAGTGTTTCCCCCAAACAAACCTATGCATGAACTGATTATGCTCTTTCCACTCACACATTTACATCCAAAATAGCTTAAAATTGGTATCGGAGGTGCAAACACATTTTAAACGTAAAAAATCAGAGCAGTGGAAAAGGTAAAGTTACAAATAAAATTGGTAGTCAAAATTTGATTACTCTAAATTTATGCATTTTGACAGAAACACATAATTTGTATGCCTCAACCACCAGAATAATTGATGTGAAAAATTTCCAGTGGCACCTATCAATTTTACAGTGTTATAAATCTACTACACCATCATCTCGTACCACTATGACTAATCAAGTTCTTCATCTTCGTCTTCATCTTCACTGTCCTCTGGATGTTCTTCATCTTGATCTTCTCCGTCTTCGTCACCTTCTGCATCTTCTTCACCCAGCATCTCATCATCACTTTTTCCTTTGCCACCAGCTGTTCCTAATAGAGAAGAGTACGAACAATAGTTAGTACGGACCGAAAATAATTATGATAGAAGTATGTTAAAAGAGCAAGAACGTTGACAAAAGATGCAAGCAATTAAAGACTTAACATCAGAACAAAAATGACCAAGGGGCTAAGCAATGATCAAGTAGAAGATGAAAAAAAAAAAAAAAACTTGTGAGTTGTTTAGGAAGCAAGGACTTATACAGCATAAATGCAATTGATTTCAGAAAGATCACCAATCTCTACTATACCAGAAAAATGATAAGAACGACAACTTCAATGACAATGTTGTCTATCAGCATCAAGGAAATGTGTATAATGAAAAAGTACTACTGGATTTTGTACTTGCAACTCAATATATGAAATATATTAATACCGTATTGTACATGAAAATAGGTGATTGTCATTATGTTCAAGAATAGCTCAAATGAAGTAATACTCACATCCTTTTGATGAAATATTAGACAGCTAAATATAATTGTGGTTTTGATAAATTTTTCAATAAAAATGAATATATTAACTTGAGATGAAAGTGTAGGATGATTTACCAAATTCTCTGAAGAGAATTTCGCCCGAACACAGTCCCTTCTCAATCTTAACTAGTTGAAGAGTCATCCTGGGTCCAACCTCTTGTAATTTGACAGAACTTTTTGTAGAAGCACGATTAACTCTACCAATATCACTAGGCAAAGTAACTGTTGCTGCTTCTCCGTCAGCTTCACTCTCTGATCCATACCCAGCCCTTACAAATCACAAGTTAAACAATAAGGAGATGGGAAACAGTATGGCTAATTATTTTGTATTAGATAACAAAATGCAAAGGTCAAAAGGATCATATAAGTTTTCTTTCAGATCATCATTCTAAATAAAAAAAGTAAAAAAAATGAAAACCAATTAATTAAGCAAGTATCTTACTTCGTGACAAAATCACTAACGTCTTGAAGATTCCTTAGATCAGGAACCTGATGGCTCTGCACAAGTTTTCTTAATCTGCGTGAAACACCTACAGGTTGTAATCTTATGGAATAATGCCGAAAATCAATGAGCTTAGTGTCTTTGTTATAATTAAGTAACAAGATTCTTTGGCAAGTGGAGAGCTTAACCTGAAATAACAAGTTGTGACATTAAGAGACGAAGGACTTGGGTGTCAATTAAGTCATTGATGTGTATGTGTGTGCCTATAAACTCACAGTTTTGACATCAATTGTTGGAAAAATATTCTGAAACATGTTAGTTGTAAGCTGTAGAGGTGGATCTCCACTCACAAATCCAGAAAGCACAATCTGGCAAGAAAACACAGAAACATAAATGTTGGATAAATAACAAAGGCATCTTAAATTATTAATAGTAACTAAGTACCTAGTTACATATTATAGTACTACGGTTTCAACTGGAAGCAAAAGTTGTATCTTCCCTACTTATATACTACCAGTCTACCATTAGCAATTAAGCAATACATGAAATTGATAAAGAAATTCATGTTCGGTGCAAGAACCTTCATTATCAACATACAAACAAACTAAGATGTCTTGACCATTTTATCAGTCTTCAACTTGATAAGGACTAGAGGTAAAGCATAATAAATAATCTCTTTATCACATTCCATTTGCATACTTTAATCTGGTGATGATAACAGGGTGAATGGCATTCAAAGAACAAATAATATCACAAAAAGTTATCAGTTCTGAGGTTTCTTTTAATTGCCTAACTTTTAAGAAGCTGCAACACTTCAATTGCAAGTGAGTACAAAGAATACTTTACCAAAGCAGAATTCTTGAATAGATCCTTAGGGCATCTAGGACGCAACTGAGATCGAGCAATGTCAGCAGCCAATGAGTATTCATGTATCTTAAACGTAAGAGTAGGCCCTTGTGGGGTTGTTGCAACCCTCAAGTAAGGTGAAGATGCAGTTTTTGATAATATGAAGAAATGCGTGACACCCATGGGTCCAGCAACATTCAGAAAGTCTCTCAAATTATTCCGTTTCTTTTCCTGCAAAATAAAAGATATAAAACCATATAGTCAGCATAAAGACACATAATCTTACTTCAGATTCACATAGGGATATACATCCTTCGCACAAAACAATTTTGTTTAAACCGAGTAAGACCACCATGAAAGACAAAATTCTCCTTCCAAATATTTCAATTGACTCGAACTCAATACTACTTGCTAAGTGGAAAAATAACCCTATCGAGGTGGATCCAGGGGAATTTAATTACAGGAAATTTTGTTTTCCTCTTTTACAAATTATTATTTTTCCTAATTTTCTAGTTGCAGGAACATAAATTAAGAAGCAATTTTGAATTTAGCACTAAAAAAAATAAAAATCACTATAAGTTAAGAATCCAAAATGAAAGCAAAGAAGAAGAGAGGGGAATATTGTAGTAACCCTAAGGCTGAGAGCAGTGTATGGGAGCATCAACTTTCTGAGGTCCATTTGAAGCTGTTTGAGAGAAGCCGGAATCTTCCCTCGTGAAAAGACAAAACTTTTGGGGATTTTCTTTCCCGTAACAGGATCCACGGTGGGTTGCTCCTGCGGTTGCTTCGGCTTTTTGATGACAACGTGCCTCCTGAACCCATGTTTGTTCTTCCTCTGTATCATTCAGGAGATAATCGAATGAGACAAGACAACGTAAAAGCAGCGCAGAAGAAGAGAGACAGAGAGGTTACCATGGTTTGAGGTTGTCTGGTTGTCTGCCGCCGAAAGGGTTTAGGCGTGGAGGAGGAACACTGGACGAAGGTTTACAATAGAAACTAACGATGGAGAATAAGATAGTTGTGTATAAATTTGCCCTAAAAAAATATAATTTAAGACTTTATTTTAGTCAACTATATAATTTTTTTAATGAGTAAAATATATTTTCACATGAAAGATATTGTGTTTTTAATTTTAATATAATAAAAAATATCAATTTTAATATAATAATAACAACAATAATAACAATAATAGTAATAATAATTTTACTTTGAGTCTTAGTTTACATGTCAAAGGTTAACATCAATATTTTTACGAGAAAAATATTAGTAAGATGTTAATTTATTATATATTAGGCAATGTCAAATTTTATTTTGTATAATTACAAAAAAAGTGACCGCGTGTATAATTGCAGATATTTTTTATTTTACTTTTTAAAATTTAAAACAAGAAAATTTAAAAGTTATTTTTTAAAATTTTAATTTTAATATTTTTATTTTAAAAAATTAATTTAAATAAAGTATATCATAAAGTAATAAAATTATTTTTTTTAAATATAAATTTAAATAAGTTATAATGCAACTTATAAATTTAAATAAAACTAATCTTTTAAAAGAATTAATAATGTAAAATCTAAACAAAAATCAGAAATTTATAAAAATAAATTCTTAACAATTATTTAATGGTTAATATTTTTTTAACAAATAACTTGATTTTGATATCTTATTTATATGTGGATTGAATGTATTGGCAAGTATAAAACAAATAAGTATTAAATACCCGTATCTATCTCGATGGGTATTCATAAGTATCCATAAAGAATTTTACCTAAAATAATTTTCTTTTTATGATAATTAGTTTCGTACAACCACCGTGACTTTAAGCATTATTTTTAACTACAATAATTTCTTTAGGTAAAAATATTTATTATATTGATTTTTATTTTTATTTTCAAAAAGACACCTTCGATTAGAACTTAAAATCTTTATTATATTTGATTTTCCTAATTTTAGAAGGAGATAAATGAAAGTATATCTTCCTCAGGTTAATAAGATTTCATAGCTAGATATCAAAATGTATTCTGTTAGTAAATTTGAGTTAAAACAAATTAAATTTTATAAATTTATATAAATTGTTGTAGTTAAAAAAGAAGTTACTCGATTAATTGTTGAAGTAAATAATTAACACGTCATTTTTATTATTACTTTGTTTTTGTGGCACTATGTGACTTTTTTTTCATAAATAATATTATTTTAAAACAATTTTAAAATAGTAGTTATGGAATATTATATATCAAAATAACACTCTTTAATATTCACGGTACTTTCGTTCAAGCGAGAAATGCATCGCTTGAGTGACGAGACCTGGAACTAACGGGTATTGTGGGGTTTAATTTCGCTCAAACGATATAATTCTCGCTCGAGCGATAAGTTCTCTTGTTTAAGCGAGAAACCTTTCGCTTGAGCGAGGAGACCTGAAACTAATGGGTAATTTCGGGTGTTTTTCCGTTCAAGCAATGGATAATTTCGCTCGAGCGAATATATAAAATTATGAACTATTATTTCTCTCTCGCTCAAGCGAGAAATTCATCACTTGAGCGAGGAGACTTGAAACTAATGGATAATCTCGGGTGTTTTTTCGCTCAAGCGATAGATAATTTCGTTCGAGCGATAAGTGATTGAAATATGTGGTGAATGTGAGTTATGATTGTGGAGATTGATGTTGACGAATCATCATCAATTATTTGACCAATTGTTTGGGGAATCATTTTATATCTCAACTTATTGTGGTCTTGGCTGATTAATGGCGAAACCTATGTATGATGCTCTTCAAGCTTCATAATCTCCCAATATTGCTCTCTTGTGCGCAATATTGCTCGACATCTCCAATTGCATTGATTATCAACACATTCAACAACATATCTACTTTGATTTGAAATATTCACCTTGTATGTGCAATGATTGACAATGTGAAAGTGGTTAATTGCATCTTAAACTTGTTCTTTTGTTATGAAATGTTGTCCAAGAAATAGAGTTCCTGCCGGAGAAACAAAAGACTCTCTGTTCAACGCATAGTCATACTTTGAGTCTTGTTGTTGAATGTGACTTTCAAAGTTAAGAAAATGTTGTGGTGGGTTGTATGGTTCCATGAAGTTTGGTGCATGTGTAGAGATATGTGGTTGTTCGTCCTCTGAATCATCTTGGTGTTGGTTGAAAATTTCATCTTCGTCTTTGTCCTCATTAAAAGGATCAACGACTTCAATTGGGAGGCCAACAAATTTGTTCTCTTGTGTGGGTAGTTCTTCATTGATGTTGGTGGAATACCCAGTTAGAAGTTTGGTAAAAAGGATGTAGTCATTATGTGTGAGTATTTCTGGGTCAGTGTTTGGGAAAGCTTGGTAGGGTGAGGGTGAGATTTCAGGTGAGTGTGTGTTGGGGTATGAAGAAGAAGAAGTTTTAAATGTAACAAAAATTTCAATACCACATAAATTTGAGTTTGAATCATGAACATCGAACATAGCCTCCACGTCATTATCATCTTTCAACTCAGCAGCAATGAAGTTGTTGATCCCAACTCCGAGTCTAGTTGGGCAGTGAAAATGGATGGTTGCTACATTTTCGTGGGATTCTTTCTCCAATTTCCTGTGAATCAACTTCTTCAACTTTTGTAGAGAAATTCCTTTATTTAAAGGAACAAGTTTTGCAGTCCCAGTATTGAAGGTAACTCCCTCCATGGGACATGGGTTCATGGAACCATCATAGTGGACAATAGTAGATACTACACCCATTTTAGGAGTGTGGAATAAAAAGAAGACTAAAAGTAAGAAAAAGAAAGAATGTAAAGAACTTCAGAGATTTAGGAGTGTGCAATGTGAGAACTTCAAAAAATGAAAGTGATTTATTTATAATGAAGTCCAATGGTTTGAATCAAGACTCCCTCACATGGCTTCTGACGCACACAAAACCCAAGCAAAGTGGGTGAGTCAACATCTCTTTAAATGTGCTTGGATTATTCTGCTTTTTTCTAGCCCAATGCAGGGAATCCAAAATTGGAATCCTGACTTGGGTGGGTGACTCAACATTGGATTCTTGACTTATGTGCATCGGAAAGGCATGAGAATCCTGACTTGGGTGGGTGACTCAACATTGAATTTTCCGACTTTGTGCGTTAGAAATTATATTGGGAGACACTCGTTTTGGAAAATATTTAAAAAAAAATTATTAATTATGTAAAAAAGTCGCAAAATAATCGATCATAATTTAAAATAATCAATTATTTTAAAATTATAATCGATTAATTTAATTTATAATCGATTATAAATAATTGCGGGTTTCCTCGCTCAAGCGATGAATTTCTTGTTTTAGCGAGAGTTGACCACAGAGCTAAAGCTCCAATGTAGTTAGCCACATAATGCAACTCGGGTCACCACATATTTCAATCACTTCTCACTCGAACGAAATTATCCATCGCTTGAGAGAAAAAATACCATAGATTACCCATTAGTTTCAGGTCTCCTTGCTTAAGCGATGAATTTCTCGCTTGAGCGAGAGAGAAATAATAATTCATAATTTTATATATTCGATTATTTTAAAATTATGATCGAGTAGTATAAATTATAATCGATTATAAATTTCCTCGCTCAAGTGATGAATTTGTCGCTTGAGCAAGAATTGACCACAGAGCTAAAGGTCCAACGCAGTAAGCCAATCACTTCTTGCTTGAGCAAAATTACCCATCGCTTGAGCGAGAATTGACCCGAGATTACCCATTAGTTTCAAATCTCCTCGCTTAACTGATGGATTTCTCGCTTGAGCGAGAGATAAATAATCGATCATAATTTTAAATATTCAATTATTTTTAAATTATGATCGAATAGTTTAAATTATAATTGATTATAAATTTCCTCACTCAAACGATGGATTTCTCGCTTGAGCGAGAATTGACCACGTGCTAAAGGTCCAACGCAGTTAGCCAATCACTTCTCGTTCGAGTGAAATTACCCATCGCTTGAGCAAGAATTGACCACGACTAAAGGTTCAACGCAGTTAGCTACATAATGCAACTTGTATCATCACATATTTCAATCACTTCTCACTCGATCAAGCGAAATTATTCATCATTTAAGCAAAAAAACACCCGAGATTACCTATTAGTTTCAGGTCTCCTCGCTCAAGCGAAGGGTTTCTCGCTTGAGCGATAGAACTTCTCGCTCGAGTAAGAATTATATCGCTTAGCGAAATTAAACCTCACAATACCGTTAGTTCAGTTCTTTTCGCTCAAGCGATGTATTTCAGCGAACGAAAATACCATAAACAATAAAGATTGTTATTTGAGTAAATAATTTTCCAGACGCTGTTATTTTGAAAAATATTTTTTAAAATAATATTATTTATAAAAAAAGTCGTCACTCTATAGACCAAGTAAACATTTAACTCGCGAGTAAATAAAACTTAAATGAATTATATACCTCTTGTATTTAGACTAATAACACAATATATTTTATGAAAACATACGTAACAAATTACCATGTCATTAATATTTTCAACATGATAATATTTAGGTGTTATCAATTGTTCATCATTTACATATTAGTTATAATTTAATATTATTGAATTTCATAAATAATTTTTTTCTTATTTTAAAAGTTACTCAAAATATATAATAACTAAAATATTTTATCTGTTGTGCATAAAATTTAAATTTCTTTATTTTTACTATACACGTATATATTATTTGAAAAATAGTTATTAAAATAAAAAACTTATTAACTAAAGTAACTCGTTTAATTTTAAAGGTTAGAATTCAGTATTTATTTATTTCTTTGTTTTAAAATAATTTTATATAAATTAAATTAATTGAATAAAATATTTTATTTTATCAATACACTTTTCTAGTTTTTAACAAAACTGAATTGTTTTTAATAAGCATTAAATAATTTAAAACTTGAAAATAGATTTTAACTTTATATGGTCTAACCATCTTCTTCAACAATAATAATAATATACATGCTTAACTATAGTTCTGATTGATTTGGTTGCATGGTTAGTTTCAAATGAATTGTTATTAATATTATATGAACTGATTTTTTTAAGCTTACGCAAGAGACTTTTTTTCACCTCCCTCTCAGCAAATACACCTCATCATGTAAATTTATAAGTGGTTTTCAGAGTAAGCATCTAAATGCAAATAAGCTTATTGAATTAATAGCCAATGATATATATTCAAGTGCTTCTGCAAGTAAAACACATGCATCATAAAATTGAATTTGAATGTAATAATAACGTGGCAATTACAATTTTACATTCACATAATATAGCTCTCTTCACAGTAGTAAAGTTTGATTCTATACCTCCTCACATTTTTTTTTTATCACAACAGCAAGGAGTCCATTTGATCCCATGCCTCTCTCCACAGCAATGAATGCTAAGCATGGATATGTAATATGCTACAAAATTGCAATCGAAGCAACCTGCAATATTACATATTTCAGTCAGAAAGTCAAACCATTGAGCCCAACCTTAAAAACCATTAATCTGAATTATAAAAGAGGAATCATAATCCTATGCCTGAGGTCCTTGGTAGCCTAACATGTCTTTGTTAACAACAAAATTATTGAAGCAACTTTCAGATTTACTTCATAATTTGTCTTGTCTAGTTAATAGCCATTATTTTTCTTCTCTCAATTTTGTCTTCCCTTCTACAACTTCTATCTTATTCTTTTATAAAACCAGAAAGACAGGGAGATGCTCTGCTGGTATTTTCAGCTTCTAAAAACTATAGGGATATTCAAAGATATAATGCGAATGTCATCCAGACTCAGGAGAAGAACACTACTTACCACGTTGAATTACAACTCTATCCAAGGTAGCGAAGCAAGACTCCATCATTCCCCAGTACAAATCCCTTCTTGTCATCAATGAACCTGCAACAAGTAGACCATATACGAGAAGTTTTATAACACCTTCGAAATAGCATTAACCAATTCTCAAAACTCCTGTATACTCTTTCCTGGGTAATTTTTCATCTCGTTCTTTTTAAAACATAAAAGATAACAGTTTACTTATAGTCAACTGCATCCATCATAAAATTGAAAAGTATAATAAAGACAAAAGAAAAATATAAGATATTTTTTCAGCCATCATAATATTTATAATATTTTTCAAATAATGAAGACGAATTAGTGTAATTTATAAGGGGTTAGTGTAAAGTTGTTAAAACAATTAAGGAGTTTTCCACAAGTCTCCAAACAGGAGGGTTTCGGACAAAATCTGAAAAAGATAGGGGAAACGAGTGAAATTTACTCAAATATAAATATAAAAAACATGTAGAGCCTGGAGTGGTTCAGCAGGGAGCTCCTCCGAGTAAAGTTGAGTTTCTAAAGTTTAGACAATAACTAGCTATAATTATAAAAGTGAGGCTTAGTAATTGTTAGACTGACTTTACTGAGTATAAATTTGCAGCAATGTTGTCGGCAGCTTTGTCGCGGATCCATGACTTGCCACCATTAGTAGTTCTCAAAAGAATACCACTTCCTCCTGCTGCCCAAGCTTCATCCTGCATGCATAATTTGGCAAATTATATATACAAAAGAATGCCGACCGCACTGTTCTCTGTTTTAAAAATTAATAAAAAATATTGCAAGAACTGAAGAGGCAATAGTCATATTTGGAATGTTTTTTTCTGGAACCTGTGATTAGACTGTTGCACGCAAGAATTGCTTACTTAATAAAACGATTCTTTGAATGAAGGAACACTTTACCGTTGAACGATATCCAACATCAAGAATGCCAAAACCCCGGCTTTGAACAGGAACCTCCTCAAATTCTTCAGTTAACTGAAACAATAATGTATATTTGTTCTTATATGAAAAGAAAAGAAGCACATATATGCAGCAATCAAAAGTGCAGTAAAGCTAGCCGGCTTTTATCAACAGATTTTAATTCACCACTTTAGAAATCTATCATATTTAGTACAATAACAACAGAAACAAAAAAAGGTTCAAGCACTGTTTTAGAAAGAGCTTTCATTCTTATAACCCTCCTCAACTTCTACTTTCACAAGATTCGACTCAAACATTTTGGGCCAGTTGAATTGGGAACACAGATTAGTATGACAAATTTATTATGTGTCTGGCAATAATTATTTTCCAAAATCAATCCATTTCCAAACATGCACTTAGTGTTATGTGACAACAACACAAGGAAAGTGAATGCAAGAAAAATGTTTGATCAAAGACAGAAATTTTCTTGTTATTAAATGATACAAGGGAGACTAAGTAAAGCAGTCTGTGAATGTATAACATAAAGATGGAAATGTCCCAGTGAGGAAGGGTAACAAAATTCAAAGCTAATTTAAGACTTGAGAAAATATTTCAAATATTATCCACAATGACATCGGTAAGGAGTGAAATGGACGACTGTTAGTCTCACATTCATACTATAGAATAGAATTACTTACCCCTGTGCCCTTGCTGAGATAAAGACCACCTCCACGAACAAGAAGCCACAGACCACCGTCAGCTCTCCATCCCATGTTCTGTATTCTTCTGGCAACTGCTCTATTATGTGGCTGCCAGAATGGCTGAAAATAAAATAAATTAAAATAATTATTACCAAGCTCTATGCAGAAGACAAACCATCAGTCAATATGAAATCTCATGGTTAAATGGAAAACACGTAATCTATACAAGGCACCATCTGAGATTTATCTCCCAAGGAAGAGCTAGAGCTACTGCATTACCATAGACTTTAGAATCATGACGCACTGAGAAAGGAAGAAGGTTTTTTACATTAAAAAGCTGGTGTAAAAGAAACAGATATTATCCTCTGATTTTGTCTGTTGGTAAACTACTTATTTTTTCCTCGGAGGTATATTCTATCTATATAATCAACTGGATGAAAACAAAGAAAGAATACATAAACAAGACATTCTAAGGCATGCCCAATAGGAAGGTTTGGTAAATCACTTTAACTTACTTTTTGGGCCTTATGTCAAAGAAGACCCAGCATCAAAGAAAATATTATTTCAGAAACTGTACGTAATCTGTTCCACGTGACCAGTATATCGCTGCTACTTCAGAATTTCTATATTGATAATTTTATTTCAGGTGAACATTTTCTCATAATTCAAATTCCAGGGAAGGCATATACCAAAAGCACAAGTACCAAGCAAAAAAGAAGCAAAAGAAAATAAAAATGTCATCATGAAGTAAAAGCCTCACCTGACCAGGCTCCCAGGTTAAGTAGAAGTTGCCCCGACTTGAGACTGCAACATACCTTCCATCTGGAGAGCGATTGACAGTATTGAAAGTCCCAGTGTAATAGCTTGCACCACTAATACCACTAGAAACTGTTCTGAAGAAGCAACACGGATAGATAAAAACCTTGACGTATAAAATTGAAAATATTCAGCAAATCACATAATGCAAAAGATAACCCAGATGAATGAGTGTTTGAAGCACATAACCAAAGAAGTAAAACTTATGCAACAAATAACCCCATCGACACTCACCCTGCAGTCAAACTTTTCAAGCAAAACTCAAAACATTCCAATTTTACTAACACTTACTCACTAATTTGAAAGAAGAGCATTACTACACTACACCATATCCATGATAGTCCACGCATACATAGAACTTGGTGCATAATTGAAACTCACCTGTTAAGAGTAGCTGACACAGTTTCCTGAACAGCAGCCCTCCAGTTGTAACCTCTGTTAGCAGTAATATATATTGCACCTTCGTCAGTCACCATCTCTGCACTCTTCTCACCGGTCGCCTTTATGTACACCTGCAACCCATCACATTAAATTTTACTACAATTTTCACAAAAATTATTATTAGAATAAATAACAATGCATAACCATTAACCAACCATATCCCCTGGAAGTTCAGCACTGAGCGGTATTCTCTCCCAGCTTGCTCCAGCATCAGCAGTGTACAACAGAATCGCAGGTTTTCCAACTATCCACCCTTCCTTCCCTTTGAAACTGATAGAATTGAAGCGATAGTTGAAATCTTCGTCTTCGGCAGAGGGAATGGAACGCGGAGCCCAAGTGTTTCCTCCATCCTTCGTCTCCAGAATTGTTTGTCTCGTCCCGAGGAGAAAACCTAAAATGCGAACACCGTTCATTCATTTAACTCCAATTCAAACCAAAACAACCGCAACTAAGGCGAAACGAGAGGAGATTACGAATTTACAGTACCGTGGTTGGGGTCTTCGGGGACAAAAGCGATGTCAAGAAGCACGACGCCGGGGTCGATGGGGAGGTACACTCTCTCCCACTCCGAAAGCGTGTCTTCGGCCCTCGCCGCAAAGTGAGGAAGCGAAACCGAAATTGCGGCGGTTTCGGCGAGCAAGCGTCTCCTGCTCCGGGAGAAGTCGTCGAAAGAAGAAGAGGCTCTGACAATGAGGCTTCGATTCCGATGGAAAGTTCGCGAGGAAGGGAGAGAAGGCCTGAACAAGGAGGTTGAGTCGGTGAAGGTGAATTGAAGAGTGGCCATTGTTGCGTTCTCTGTCTTTTCTCTCTCTGCCTTATCCCAACGGCTTCGCGGGTGATTTCAAGCACTTCACGATCAGTGAGTGGATCATACGCTTCCAACTTCCAAACCTTTTTTTTTTTTTTTTTTTTTTTTTTTTTTAATATATTTCTTCTAGCCACCACCTGTACTATTCCGCAGCCACACTTTTATTTTCTTTCCCTTTTTTAAAAAATTAAATAACTTATTTTCTCTATTATTCTCTCTTGTCAATTTACTCTTTTTTATTTATTTTTATATTTTCAGTAAAGTTGCTTATTTAAAGAACATTATTTGTTTGAATGAATTTTCCATGAGAGAAATGTATAACGAGGTACTTCTTAAAAAATTAAAATATAAATTTATTGTATTATGTCATTCTTAAGCAATTAATAATGCATTTTATTTAAAAAAATATTATTTTTTCTATTCTCTTTCCTTATTTATTTTATTAATTATTTTATAAATTATTTGAGAAACAATTATAAAAAATAAAAAAATAAGCAACTTATTATATATTACCTCCAAAAAAAATTCCTTCTTCTAAAAAATTACTAATAATAATTAATTAAAGATAAAAATAAATATTTTATTATAGAAGTAGATTACTTACAGATGGAGGGAGGGGTTTAAACTTTGAAAAAAAAGTTACTAATATAAATAATTTTGATTAATTTTTAAGTAATTCTTGTGGAAAATCTACATAAAATATTTATTTTTATTGCTCACCAGCTCTTGGAGGTAGAGATGCCCTTAAGTATTTCAACAGTGGGAGATATTTTTAGTTGCTTTATCAAGTAATTTCCAAGAATAAATAAAAAAGAATAAATGAGAAATGAGAATAAATTCTTTGAATATGTTGTTTCATAATAATATTATATTTTACATTTTTCAACTTAACAAATAACATGTATGGTTTCTCTTGTTAAAAATGTCTTTAAGGTGCTTCATGAAATAAATAAAGAAGATTTTTAATGAAAATTATCTATTGTAAAGATAAATGTTTGTTGTCAACATATAATAAATCATCATATATTCATATTCATAGGACACATTATTTTTTTAATATAAAAATAATAATATTATTTTATTATTTTTCCAGTTGTATAATAACCGTTGTCACTTTATTATGATGTTTAAGTAAAATACTATTGAAACACTTTTTTTATTGAAAGAATCCTAACTTATATAAGTTGCTTAAAAATATTTGTACAGTTTGATAAAAATACAAAAATTTTAAAAATAATAAATAAGAGAAAAATGAGTTTTTAAAATATTTATAAACAAATTTATATTAGAGTAAAATTAAGTATGAGTTACTTAATATGATGAGATATAATAAATTTATATTTTACATTTTTTTAATATGATTTAATTAAAGATGACAAAGATGACAATATGTTTGCAACAGTTATTTATGATTAATATATATATTATTCTGGATTTACATATATAAGTTACTTAAAGTTATTATAAATTTTAAGTAATTTTCTTAATTTTAAACAATTTATTTATGAGGTCCATAATAAAATAATAGTTTTTATTTTTAATCAATTCTTATTAATAACTCTCATTATAAATATTCTAACAGAACAAGCAACTTATCATATCATCTAAATTTTTCTGATAAAAATAATAATTAATATTTTATTTAAATATTTCAATAAATAATTTCTATAAGAAATTATGTTTAAATGAATATTTTCATAAAGAAAAGTAGATACAAAGAAACAATTTTTTTAATTATAACAATTAATATTTTATATAAAAAATGAAATGAAATTTTAATAATTTTAAGAAAAATAGAAAAACTATATATTAAGAAATGCTTGAATTTGTTTTTAACCATGATCGGGTACAACAAAAGAAAAATAATATTAATAACAGTGCAACATGTATAAAAAAATATAAAAGTCAATACTTTCATTGATGACATGTTATTTATTTATTTTATTAAATTTTAATAATGAATTTTATTTCTTTTTAATTATATTTTTCTCTTACATTAAATCTCTTATAAAAAATATAGAATGATAGTAGTCAAGATGGTTTTAAATTTTGAATTTGAATTTGAATTTTTACAAATTTTTCTTTAAAAGATAATTTGATTAATTAAAAAATTATATTTATGAATTATTCTTAGTCTTAAATTCTAAGTTATACATAAATATTCCATAATTTAAATAAAAATTTATTTTTAATAATCATCATTATATATTTTATAGACTATAATTATTAAATAATTATTATTATATAATTAATGTTATTTTTAAAAAAATAATATCACCATGCCTTTGACAATAATTCCAAAATAATTGTTGTTTCTCAATTTTACTAACGTATTATTTAATTTAAAAAAATGTGTTTATAAACTATTTCTAAGCTAAGACCTATGATTATAGTAAAATAATATATATACATTTAGTTGATAATTACTTTTTATTAATAACAAAGAAAATGATATTTTAAAACGTTACAAAATATAATAATTCAAGGATAATAATAGTCTATAAAAGATTATTATTATTATTATTATTATTATTATTATTATTATTATTATTATTATTATTATTATTATTTTATTAGGAAAACAGTTTTCAACTTTGTGTGTTTTGGTGAAACTGTCAGTGTATAATTTTTCTGTCAACATGTGACTCTTTCTGTCAACATATAAAGTTGACTAGTTATTATCATTGTGAAATGAATGCAAGGACATACTTGCCATATTTGTCGCTGACCAGGATTTTGGTCAAGTATTGTGACGTTGGAAAGGTTGAAAAAACTATAAGAGAATATGCAACACGAGACTCTATCTAAGGGATTCAAACAGGTCAATTGAAATTCAATTACTTCTTTCAGCGGTTTTATAATTGTATTGATGCAATTTTAACATTAAAACACGATCTCATGTTGAAAGTAGTCATGACATTAAAGACCACTTATGGTTTTTTTTTTTTTTTTTTCAAGTTTTACTTCTTACATGCTTTATTTTTTATTTTATTTTTTCAAAATCAGTTCATTTAGCACAATTTTATGCATTTTTTATTTTTTAAATTGATGTTGAGGTCCTGTTATATATCATAACTTTATTAAATTTTTTTATTATAATTAATAAATACTATGAATATAATCATGTAATATTTACGATTAATATATTTTTTACATACTAATACTAATATTCAGAAATTAAATTAAAAAAGTGAAGATAAATTTGGTTAATTTAATTAAAATAAAAAAATAGAATTAAAATGGTATAATTCCTAGTTATTTAATATTTAATAACTTTTGTGAGATTAAATTTTATCTTATGCTTTAATTGATGATTGAAAAAGAATATATATATATATATATATATATAGTATATAATAATAATAATAATAATAATAGGCTATTAAAACAAAAATATATATTTCATTGTTGATTATATGAATAATTATTATGATTATGATTTATTTGATTATGAATGCATGTTATTGTAAGTTTTCTTAATGGTTCATTTTGCATGAAATTTGAATAGGAATAAAAATACAAATAATCTTCATTTTGTAGTAGATGAATTTAATATTGATAAAATTTGTAAATTATGTCTAATATGTATACTGTATCAATATATATTTGAAAACGATACGAAGAACACACATCAATAACACGAAAATAAGATAGTAAAAAAGATTAAAACTCTCCATAATCATTCATTTAATTTAACTATGTACCTTGGTGCTCGTGCAACATGTCGAGGGTTTGATAGCTCTTAGACATCAAATTCATAATTTTTTCAACTATACCTTTGAATATGATATATGTAAGTTCATTGTTAATTCTCTTAGCAAGATAACAATTTTTGGGAGTATTCATGTCTTGCTTGTACCATGACATCTGCTTTCATGTTTCATTCCATAAATTATAATTTTATTCTTTCAAATATGGTTCACTTGTACAAAAACAATATTTTATGACGATTCTATTTTACCGACCATAATAAGTTGAGCAGTGATAATTTTGTAATGAAAACTTATTTTTTTATGACAATTTAATTTTGAAAGGACATATAAAGTACTTACGGTAATGATTCAATTTTGAACTTACATAATAATAATTTTTTATGTCAATTTAAAATTGAATCGTCATAATAATTACTTTTATATTAGTTTAATTTTAAACCATCATAGTAGATGATTTTGTGAGTTGTAAATTTTGATACTTTTCAATTTTGAATCATGATATTAAATACTTATTATAACGATTTAATTTTGAACTAATATAAAAAGTGACTTTGTTGGTCTTAAATATGAAAGACTTTTTATATCAATTAAAAATTGAATCATCATAATAAATATTTATTATGATGGTTTGAATCGTAGTAAAAAATGTCCATATTAATTTTTCAAATTCATTTTATCATTTTTATCTTTTTTATTTTCTATTTTTCCCTTACATTTCAAAGAATTCCACCCAATTTGTTTTTAATCTCATTTTCTCCTTGTCACATTTATTTATTTTTGTCTTCCTTACGCTTGTACCACCACTTCCCACAATCTTACTTCTTCCTTATTTAAAACAAAGATAATATTTATAAGCATTGTCTCATTTTTCAATATTAGTTTGTATTTCATGATTTAGTTAATGAAATGTTCTAATATATGTTAGATTGTAATTATTATTGTGATTTATTTTTTCTTTTGTGAAAGATTCTTCATCCAACTTAAGTGAACATTTTTTACATTTTATGTATAATTATTTTTTGTATGGATAATGTTTGTGTTTAATTTTTGAGATTTGTTATTTTATTGAAGTTGTTTGATAAAATACTTGTGAGAAATATTACTATATAAAAAAAGTTGAAGCACAACTTTTTATAATGGTTATGTTAAGAATCAACATAATAAATACATGTCGGTTATTTAACAACCATCATAAAAAGTATAACTTTCTATGTCATCAAGATCTATGTTTATTGTAGAATTAACATAAAAAGTCTAAAATAA